AGATAATGGAATTTAACTAAATATTTCAGGTAGACTACTTGTGAGGTATAAGCCACGTTGGTGTTGTAAAATGAATATGAAAATTTGTGAAAAACAAAAAAAAAATAAATTATTTTGTATTTATAATAAATCTTAAAAAGTTCATATGTTTTTCTTAAATTTAAATAAGCATCTCAAGAAAAACAAGATGGGTTTCAATTATAAGTGAAAAACCAGGAAAACTGGCTGATAATATTTAAAATACAATTTTCTATGACCGATCATGTATGTACTTGCTTTGTACATTTATTTTATTCTTACAAAACTTAAATATACCTACTCTCAATCAGTCACTATCACCATGTTTTTAGCAAAGGCTCTATTACTGACTTCAAGTTGTTCTATAGTTTTTACATAAATGAAAATATTCCAAATACGGTGAATAAGTTTAATGTTATATTTATTTTCAATAGAATGATTTTTTCCTTATCAAACGACATCAACTTAGATTGTTTACTTTAAAAGATATCTTATTTTTTTGGCACATTTTAGTACTTTATTCTACACTAGAAACGTAAAGTATATTTCAGTGCTATGAATTTGGAAAAATCTTTATGGCTATTGAATAATTTATTTAATAATTTGCATTATTTATTATAAGTTTCTATTATTCTTTACCCATATGATTTTTTTTATCCGTAATTTCCCTCATAGGTAGGTTTGTATCATCAGGAGTAACTTAGAGCACTTTTCAGCCGTCTTCAAATAGGAGGAAGTGCTTATTTCCACCAACTTTTACTTACACTATTACTTTTTCAATAAAATGCCGATTTTTTTATTATTTTATGGATTATCATTTGATGATTCCTTTGGTAAGTCAGGATACGATCAAAAGAATCTTTGAGATAAAGAATGATGATAAAGCCTGTTTCAAAAACTATTAATGTGTGGACAAAGCCGTAACTAACAGTCAGTTCTGAATCAATAAATAGATTTTTTTACCAACTATATACAAATTGAAATATTTTTTAAATTAATTTTTCAGTAAATTCTAATATATCATATTTGAAGGCTGTATAGTTTGTTTTTATATCAAGTTAATATTCGCCAAAGCGTACAATTTGAAAGTATGAGATAAATATTACAATGAATGTACATCTGATTTTTGATATAAAAATTCTAAAATATATTGCAATCTTTATATTTTCCCTGATAAAGTTCAGGATAACTGTTAACTAATATGTTTTTCAATCGCTTTGAAGCTGACCAAATCCTACATGTGATTGTTACACACTTTATAATTACGATAACGACTCACAGATGTTTCAATCCATTGAAACCATATACAATATCCAAAACTACAAAATTCTGAGATCTAAGATTCATTTAAATGAAACCTATATTTTTCGGATTATACTACGCGACTTTATTTTTATAATAAACTGCATACTCCCGAAGTTTCGGCTACTTTTCAGTAACCGTGACCACTTTTATCGGCTACTTTTCAGAAACAACATTCTGTTATGTTAAACTTTGAATGTTTTACAAAAATTGCACTATCGATACTATGATACGTTTAAATAATTAATATTTTGATTATTTGAATAAGGATTGAAATAAGGAATATGTAACTTTTGCTTCTTTTACACTATTCATTACAGGTTCAGGATACGGAGAAAGTTTTTTCTTCTTGTTCTGATGCTATTGTAAGTCGATGAAACGAATCTTCCATAGGTACCTGGAAAATTTCCATCTGAAAACCTTTACAATATTTTTTCATCTCTTTGTACTTACATCCTTGGGTCTTCTGTGCTGGAAGAAATAAAGGAAGTTCTACGCTCAGTTATGATTTTAAGGTATAATAATAATTTTATACTTTTCTCTATATACTGGTGGGCAACTGGATGTTGTTAACAATATATTCTTCAGTATATAAATCAAATATTTTCATATGTCTATTATTTCTGCTTTATTAAAGAGTATTCTTTGAGATCATTTCCTACCGTTAACACTTCATCATTAGTAACATTTGTCACAACATCTTTAATTCAAATTACTCATGATTTAGATATTATTGAATGTTAGTAAAAAAATATGTAGTGAAAGGTAAGTCATGAATTTATTTAGTTGTGGGCAGATTGTTAAAACATATTGTCTGCATGTGACATAATACGAAATTAAATTATTGTATCATATTTTATAAACATTGAATTTCGCTCATAGAAAGCCTGCTTACATGTACATGTCAGTAATCATTGTTAATTTATTTCGTAATACGGAACTGATCTTGAAATTTAAAATATTCAGAACCAAATAGGTCATTAATTATGCAGAATTTGATATTTCTTATCATAATAAACAGGAGAGTAGTTTAAAATTAGCACTTCAATATGTTACTTTATAATATCCAGCTATGTCTTAAGTTTAAATTGACTTGTACCTAACGGTTTCAACCTCTCTTGTTTCCTTTCTTCTGCAGTTTACTAATATGTATCTTTATATTGTTGGAACAGCTATACCTGTCTTAATATAACTATGAGATGTACATCATTGTCATAATATGCGTAACAACTTTTTTAATTAAATTTTTTATCTGAGTATGGTGAGTATGAACATGACAACTGGTTGTGGAAACTGAAAGCTGATGAACTGTTTTCTTTATAAATGAAGGAAATATGTACAAGTGATGGTTTATTTTAGAATTAATTTTACGAATGCTCTATAGCTCTGACATATCAATATGTTTTTCCTTATAAAGGCTTACACTTATAATTTTCTTTACTTTATTTTTTTATGATTTTTTGCTTTGTGTATTTGAAACTCTTCAAAGTGAAGTAGTTATACTGGGATAGTAGATATTCTTTTATTGTTTCGAATGATTTTATATATTATACCTAATTGTTTTACTATCGACACACATTTGATAAAACAAGAACTATTATGGAATGATAGGAGTTATTTTGATAGAGTATTTTCTATAAAATTTTAGCCATTTTTAAACAAATAGAAAAAGTACTTAGCTATACATCTTTACAAATTAACATTAGCTATAAGTACGTATGTAATGATGTTTTAATATCCTACCCAGTTATTATTTTGTAATATTTATTTGTTTGTATAAATAAACATGCGTATGTAGTTTTAGTATTAAAACAGGTCTTAGGAATATTTATGAAATGTACGTGTTAAAATTTTATCTCCATTTTCTAAATTCAAACGGAATTATTAATAAGATGATCACATCATCTAATATTTGTTTCGTTTAATTTATAATAATTACAAGATTTTTATATTTTTATAAAGTATTTTTATAGTAATTCCCATATTTTCTTGTAACAGTGATGTTAACTAGAAGAGATTATTACCTTGTATGCTTATAATATCAATTTTGCTTTGGACTTTTTGTGTCAGACTTGTGGTATAATAGGTATATGGTAGGTCTGAATACTTGTTTATTGTTTAAATATCCAAAGTATATAAAGGATTTGTATGTAATTCTATTATCCTCTACATCCAAAACCTCGGAGGTAACTCGGAGGTAACTCGGAGGTAATTCCAGGATTTATTTCATAACATCAAAGGGACGTCGAAGGTAAATAAAAGATTCGGATCGAAATTTATAGTTTATATTAGATTTATAATAAGATATGTAGTCTACAAAATTTCACAAATTTTCACAACGTTATTTGAACCTAAAGCGTCTACCCATTTTATTATGAAAATAAAATTATCGAAATCACTGGATCTACGTACGACGGAGGCTGTTTTTACGTAAACATTATTTTTTAAAATATAATCTAATAGGCAGTTTTAAATCTCGCGCGTCCTTACATGAGTGAGTCAAAAACTAATAACAGTAAAAAAATAAAAAAATATCAATACATAAAAGCAGCCCCCCGTTATAAACCAAACAACAAGTCGTCCGTACAAATACAATTATATTTATTATCGTTATATTTAACTAGAGTTATACAGAATAATGATTCCTATGAAATATAATTATGCATTCTTTAAATTTATTCATATAATAATAATAATATTAATAATAATAATAATACTTAATAAGTATCAATAGGTAATGATTAGTCAATGTCGTGCTACAAACTACTATAGTTTATAATAATAATAATGAATGAGTCGTATTATTTGTTTATGATTTATTACTTTAATTTGATTAGTCGTCCTAACCACTAAGGAGCATAGCAGCCTCCACCCGGCCCCGGCGGGCGCGGGCGCACAATCACAAAATCATCGTCAACACATAAAATAATAATCAATAATAATAATAATAGTCGTACAGATAAAAATCATTCATAAAAACATTATAATAAAAATCTAAACATTAAAACACACTTAAAACAAACATTATATTAATATTATCATAATCATAGTGTGTACGTATGTATAATATCATTAAGCGAATATCGTAGTCAAAATAATGAGCAGTGGCGGGGAGCGCGCACGCGGAGCTGCGCGGCGCATTCACTACTACGATACACTACGACACGACCACGACACACCCCACACGGCATTGGCTACCACCCACGACACATTGGCTAGGCCGCGGAGCCCGCGCCGCTGCTCCCGCGCTTATATTATATTATATTACCGTATCTTAATACTTTACGCTACTACGTTAGGTAAGCTTTATAAATTTTCGATTTCTCATTTATGCTATCAATAATAATAATAATAATAATAATTATACAACTTTTTTTATTATTTTTTTGCTTTTTTTCGAAATTCTATCGTAACGTATGTCGACCCTCTCTGCGGCGGCGAGTGCGGCGTGCGCCCGTCTCCCGCCGCCTAATAAAAAACGTTCATAATAAGAAAATATATGGTGAGTAACTCTGCCGACTTACGATAGGTACGGCGCGGCGGATGGCCCGTGCCGGCGAGGCGCCGACTTTTGGCACCAGGATTTCGATTACGCGACTTTTTTTTAAATATTTTCGTAACAATTTAAGTAAAAAAGGTCAGTCCCGCATCGGCGGGAGCTCGGCTCGCCGAGTCGCGGCTTACGATAGGATGCGGATGGCTTGATGCGTGGGGGAGGCGCAGGCGGGGCACGCCGCGCCCGAGGAGGCCAGCCGCTGGGCGCACTCGAAACAGAACAGGTTGTGGCCGCACGGCACCAGCGCCGCGGACACCCCGCGCTCCGAGCACAGGCCGCACGTGCGGGCGGGGGACGCGGCCGGCGAGGGCCGAGGAGGACCCCACGCCCACACGCCGCCCGCGCCGGGGGACTCGAACGACGGGGACTCGCCCAGGCCCTCGTCACGCTCCGTCGATGACCAGATGCCGAGCAGGTCGCCGAGCCGACCCGACGAGCCGCCCGACGAGCACGAGCCGGCGGACGAGAAGGCGGCCTCCTGCTCGGGGCGCAGCAGGGACGCGAGCCCGGCGCGGTACAGCTGGGCCAGCGGCTCGCCCTCCGCGCCGGCCACCGCGCCCGCGCCCGTCGCTCCGTTGGCCGCGCCGGTGCGCAGAGCGATGTGAGCCTCGATCTCCTTGCGGGCCGCCTCCACGCTCTCCGGCAGGCCGGTCACCTCGAACACGGGCTCGCGCTCCCTCGACGGGGTCACGATGTACGTGTGCGTGGTGTGCTGGATGCGCTTGATGGTGGCGCCCTTGGGTCCCACCACGAGCCCCACGACGCGGTAGGGCACTCGCACCTGCGCGGTCACATGTCCGGGCGCTCCGGCGGGCGGCGGGGGCGCGGCCCCACACTTGCGCGAGGCTCTGATCTGCGAGAAGTGCTCGGCGGCGGAGAGGATCTCGCGTTTGGCGCGTGCGACGTCTTCCTTGCGGCCCGTCACCACGAACACGGGCTCCTCGCCGCGCACCGGGGTCTTGATGTATGTGTTGGTCTTGGCGCGCAGAGCTTTGATCTTGCAACCTAAAAAGAAGATAGCGAATATAAGTACACGGACCACATATAAGTCATTGAAGACAACGATATAGGGGAATTCAGTACAATAGTCCACACTTTTCATAATCAATCAACATGGGTCCTGTAGTATTTCCATATCACGTGCGTACCACGTGTACAATATCGTTATAGAGCGGTGTTAACGACACATATACCTGCATGTTGACTGTATGTATGTATGTATATGTATGTCATAGACTGCAGTCGTTGGAGACACTCGCTCCGCGTCAATGTGAACATAGTAACCCCACCCCCACCCCCAGCCCCGGTTGTTGCCATGCGGATAACGGATACGGCAGTCGACGGCTGGAGGCCGCGGGTACAGCTCGTATGAGAAAATTTACCAAAATATGTTTATATTTGTATTGTATCACTTAATCTAATGCCTCTCTTGATTACTCTAATAAACTAATGCTTACTACATCTCCTATCATTCATCATTCAATCTATCACTATGTCCACGTGGTGCGACATGTCTCCTCGTGGCTCGTGTCGTCTCCCTCACTCTCTCTCTCTCTCTCTCTCCCTCTCACTCCACTGCGTCAAACCCCTGTGTGTGCAGTCAGTACGAGTCTTTACTTCGTTACAATCAATAGAGTACTATAAGACTCCTCGGAGCAACCTCTAACATCTTCTAATGTATGGAGTTTGGATCTAATTAATGAACTCTTTGTTTAAGCCGAACTTATTTACTTCGAAAAGCAATCAGAAAGACTAAATATAAAAAATACTAGCTATTAGGGTTCAATCCAGTTCAATGCAAATCGTATAAAAACAATAAGTTTCAGATCTAAAACTGAACTTAAAGTTCTTCAACCTCACCCAAAGTCCGGCGTGAGGTCCATGCGAAATAAAAAGTTTAACTTGAAAAATTTGTGTCAGTCAGTTACGAGGTTATATTAGACTTGACCGGTCACTAACACGAGCAGGTTCTTAATATAATATGCAACTTGAACCAATATTCCGCAACCCACTCACCGTTTCCTGCGAAACCTCTCCACACAACCACGTCCATACTAATCGTGAACTATAAACCTTTATTCACTAACACAGCCTTCACGCACACATATCGAATTATTAACTCTACGTTTCCTGTCGACCGATTCCACTTATTTTAAGTTACAATTTTATATTTTAATATTTTAATCACGACTACCACAAGTGTCCGCGTGACGTCACGAGGCGGGACTTTGATAGAAAAAAAATGATGAATAATTTAGAACGAAACACATCGCTGGTATTGTGTTGTGTGGAGACTCAGAGACTGAGACTGTGTTACATGATCATGACGAAAACATGCTCTAATTGAAACCTATTTATATGTCAGCTAAAAATAATTGTTAGATTATAAAAATATATTTATTTAATATATTTTTCAGTAATATTATTAAGTGGTCTCAGTTCTATATTAACGCGGAGAAACTATAATGACATAAACGTGCTTCTATTTTTTTATATCTTTTAATTAATTAGTGGAAATTATTGTTTAATCTTTCTTTTATTATTGCAAGGTTTCGTTATACAAAGCCCACGTCACCGAATATTCTGCTAATATGTATTGTTCGTACATTTCGATATTATTTCAGTCAATGAAATGCTTTTAATGATTCCGTTTCTTTGTTTGTATTTAATAATCTATTCGTCATGTTATTCACGAAGGTTGTGTCACGCGTCATCGTCATTATAAAAGGTTTCTTTGGCCACATCTAAGTGTGACACCTTCAGTAGAGGAGGAGCTATTCAATTAGAGCAGTCTCGAGCGAGCCGTAGCAGTCTCGTAGCTCCTCTCACCTACATTCGCACGCTCGTAGCTCCGTAGCGGCCAGTGCACTCTACGCCGTAGAACCGGGTCACTGCGCCCCTCGCTACTCGCTAGGGCTTTTTAAAAATATTTTTTCTGACTACCGACGACGTAGTATTTTATGATTTAATGAGGCCGCGCTCGCTAATTGAAGCCTACAGTTAAGGTTCTACATCTACTACGCTTGTTATGATGCTCTTATCTCCTACCAATATATCAACCTCGTCATATTTACTTATTAATTTGATCGAATCTTTTCTTATTTCAGATAATTATTGTACTAAAAATACATATATGCCAAAAAGCAGTACTCTCAAAATTGACGGGAAACGAGAAATTTTAGGAAAAATGGTTTACAAAAAACAAAATAATCATTATTTCGCCGCGAATCGTAATATTTAAGTCCATTATGTTCTATCCGACGTTCCGCCATGTTCCATGGGTTTTTCGCTAAGTTATTCATAAGAAAAGTGTAATTTACATAAATATAAGAAAGAATAAAGCTTTTTCCTCCAGATATAAAAGTTTCTGTGAAAAGTAGTTCCGTAAAGTACCAGGAAAACAGACAATATGAGGAGGTTGGACCAACGGACCCTAGTTCTGTTCTTCCAATACAAGTGCACGCGGACGACTGATTAATACGATACATACTCTTACTGTGGCCCTTGACTTATTCTATTTATTCTCATTTTCAACTCAACAAATTTATAGTTACTATAAAATTATGGAAATCGTCTCCTTTACATGTAAACGAACATTTTTCTGAAACAAGTTGATATTTTTATTTCATAGTAAATGTATGAATTCTCATTAGTTATTTGGCTGAGGTCCAATGACGCATCTTCAGCGTGGGTCATTGTATCAGCGCGAGGTCGACTGTGTATGAAGAGCTTCAACTTACTGAGCGCTACTATTGACATTACTTTATAATGTTCATTACTTAAGGTTGTATAGCATACGACGAGCCTTTCCCGCGTAAAAGTGGAATAGAAACTTCAGTGGAGAGAAATGTCGCATGCGGTGTTACGGAGACTGTGTGCGTACAGTGAGGGTGAGGCGGAGGGTGGAGGGTGGAGGGTGAGAGTGGCTGCAGAGGGAGGTGTGTGAGGGCGCGGCGCCGCAGGGGCGCGTGTCCGGGATCGATAGAGGTCGACGACCGCGCTCGGTGCATTGGCAAGCTGGCAACCCCCGGACAACGACGCCAACAATTTAACCTACATTTTATGAAATGAACGCGGAAATTATCATTATGGTTGTTAAAACTATAGCTATGGGAATGGTTTTGATTGTTTCACTGGATCATGGAGCTATGTGAACTGACAACTCTTATTCTCGCACCAGTTTCATAATAGTTGATTTAAGGGTTTTCGTCTCGATTATACTTCATACTACAAAATATACAAGTTACGAAATAAATTAATCTAAAAACAGCTAAAACAAACACTTCCCCATCAAAATGTTAGACATCTTATTGTACATATAAAGCATAATTTTAAAAATGATTTCATTAAAGCGAGCTGCGGATATATTCAGCGAGTAGGAAAACGGATTTCCCTGGTATTTCCCGCGGCCATTGCACCCGGCTTACATAATACCAGGGCTACAGAGGTGACGAGGAGGTAGCGAGGAGTCTGAGCGGGTCGGAAGTCACCGAACCCGACGCACGGAGAAACAGACTCTAGCGACACAACAATACGCTTCTTATTGAAATGACTCGCGGTCATCGAGGCGGCGGAATGATTGATGGCGGTGCTGAAGGTGTGCGAGGGGAGAAGGCCGGGCGGGGGACGGGGAGGGAGGGGGGGCGGCTCGGGGTTGATCGAACTTAAATTAGTAGCGTTCAATGTCCACCTACTACACCGTTTGTTTTTAAATCCTTTTGCTAAGGATCGTTCCTCGCGTTACATTAATTGTAACATTCCCGTCATATACAGAGCGATGTCTCGCGAAAGTCTCAGAATCGTTGACGAATAAATTTGTATATGGAGCAGACGACTACGTAGATATAATTTAGCTGCAGCGGTAGTGCAGACGAGAGTGAGACGTGTGTTCTGTGTCTGTAGGTCGGATTCAGGATGACGTTCGTCCAGACGGTACGTTGCCGTCTGCACGGCCGGCTGGCGTACTAGTAATTAGAGACCTTGTATCTTTGGTAATAAAAGTTAATTTCGTTTGTTCGGTAACGACTTGGTACTTTAAGTATCCGAGTAGCGACACGTGGCGTCCCGGGATACACGAGAGGAAGAGAGATACGAGATACATTACTAAAGGAAGAGAAATTGTAAAACGACTGAGTTATTTTAGACCATCCTTTTAACGCGTTCAAACATATGAATCTATAGTCATATAAGAATTATGGAAATTATTATACATATTTGTAATATAACTATTGGTTCTATATCCGCAGAAAACAATGTTTTTATTTCATTATATCACGTGCGTACAGAAGCGGGTACTTTCTAAGTTTAAGCCTTCAAAGCTTATATTTTATATGGGACTCCAACAACAGCTTCTAGTCTTTATATTCGTATTGTTTTAATATCCAAACGTTCTGTTGCATTCAAAACATTACTGTATTATAAGTGTGTTGTGTGTTGTCGACTCGAGTTGTTAATTTTTACACTTACAGAACATGAATGTATGTCAGTTAGATGTTTAAATGAATTCAAATATACGAATCAAAAAATACAATTAAATTTAGCTGCTCATATTTTAGATTTTTTTTTGTATATAATTTCCAATGCTTTTTTGTTTAAACCATATAAAATTAATGTTACATCCTACTAATACATATTATAAATATGACGTTTGTGTGGATTTCAGTGCTTATGTTTGTCGCTTTTTTACGCAAAAACTACTGAATGTATTTTGATGAAATTTTACAATTATATAGCTTAAATATCAGAATAGCACATAGGCTATAATATATGCCTTCTTTCTGTGTAACTCCAACGGGATCAGGTCGAAACATTTGCATGTACTATGAAGTCAAGTAGGTACCGATTGGCTACAATATCTATGGTTACACATACGATACATTTCACGCAGATGCAGTCGCGGGCATAAACTAGTGCTAAATATTTAAAAAAATGGATATTGTTTGTATTTATATCGATATAAATGTATAACGCGTGTATTTAATTTAAAAATTGCTTTAATCTTTAACGTTAGTGAATAATATTAAAAAAACGCCTGCTCATTAAATATTTTTAAGTCACACGGAGCCTTGGTTCCTATCCATCATATAATATTGATGTCAGTGTTCGTTACAAAGGCACTCTTGCTTTCACACCGAGAGGCGAGAGCCTTCCAGTGAGCGAATTATGTGGAGATTCAGTTCTGAAACATTCACACGACGCGGAGAGTCACCTTGGACGGAGTTAATAATGAGATGATGATGATCACGTGAATGATGAATGATGTATTATATGTTAAATAATATACTTATATATGATTATATATGTTTTAAAATATAGACTCCCTGTGATGTCTTCCACGAGATATTTACCTGAAATAAAAAATATATATTAGTAGTTTGTTTCATTTCATTCAAAATAATTAATAATAAATTTCATTGATAGTTTAAATTGGATTAGTTTGAGTCATGTTAAATTTGCCAATATGTTTTAAAGAAAACATTGATATTTAAATTATAATAAGAATAATAATATTATATATTTAATAATATTGTCAAAGGAGAGTTTGTTATTGATGAACACCAAGAACCCTTACACCTTGAAACGTTCATCGCTCGTTATAAAGATAGGTACATAAAGTGGTTCCAACGTGGACCAAGGACACGCGACAAAAAGTGGCGCGGGAGGCAGCAGCGTTCATTCACATACGATATAACAAATATATTGTGAAATTAACTTATCTAATTGCTATAACAGATCTCTATATAGGTACTATATAATCCTTTAAGTATATAAGAGAAATTCTATATACCTATATGTAGGGAATATTCTTCTAGTATGGTACATATTCGTAATATTTTAATAGGACAGTTTCTCAAGAGTGCGTCATTACTTCTAGTCTACTTCAAGGCCGCGATGTTCTCGACCGTTAACTTTGAATATTAAACAAATATAATTGTCAAATACGAATCTTTGACTTCCTCCTTAGACCAGTATCAGTATATAAATATAATTCTAGTATTTAATATGAATATCGTACGTACCGGAGGCCGGCAGTGAAATGTCACTCGCTAAATGTTAATCGACTACATTGACACCACATATTCTAATTCCCATTATAATTAACGGATGAAAGAATTCGTCATTGAGACACGAAAAAATAATATCAATGTCGCATGAATAAATATTTGTATTAACATAAAGAATGACCGGCCAGCGAGCCGCGAGTGTTCTAGGAAGTTTTGTATAAAATCGAAAAGTATTTTTTTTGATATAATGATACATAAGTCGACATTCACACTCAATAAGTTGGCGGGATTATGTTTTATGAGATCACAGGCGAAGTAATGTGCGTTTAATAATGTGCGTTTCCTGTGCTCGTTTGATACTAATTGTGTTGTAAACAAACAAACAAACAAACTGACACTTCATAACAAACGTTTGCGGCTCAGACACTATGATATAACATATATGAATTTTTATTTTAATATCACGAAGTAATGCGTCCTACTAGGATTTAATATTTAAGTTGTCATAGATTTAGCTGAGTTTTGAACTCTATTTGAGTGGCTGTAAGAGTTATAATCCCGTGCCTGTACATCACGTGTGTTGTTTAGTTAGTAAACGCTCCCGAAGGAGTCGCGGTGTACCCGATACTAAACCTGATACATTTTAAGTCAGTGAGTCACTTTAACAGGTAAACGTTAATAAATATATTCCTGCGGTAAATCACAAATCGTTTAACATCCGATGCGGTTTTTTTGTGAAATGTTCTTTTGATTTATATTTGATCATGAGAAAATTCCTAAGCTTTGATGTCCGCGTGCGATAACCATCGGCTGGTTCATTTGTTGTAACGAAACTAGTCGTTTTAACGAATAACAAAGATTCAAAACACGTCGCTGACCTAGAATGATGTAGGTATCAAAGATGTCTACCGAATGGGCACAAACACCCCAAACTAACCGGCTTGTAAAAAACAACCTATGGCACTTTATTGTTGAGATAAACATCTTATTATATGCTTTAGTACTCAGCACAATGGACTTTACATTTTAAAATACTTCAAGCAATAGTTAAGTAATTGACTAGTTTTTTTGTATTAAATTTTAATAGATATTCAAAACAAACTGGTTGTATATATGTATAACTTAAGTAATATGTACCGGATTAAAAGTGAAAACACGAGAACACGTGAAGTTGACGTGTAGTGTCACCAGCCGCCTCGCCGAGGTAGTGTAGTGAGGCAGACTATTATAAATGACTTGTTCCAGCTCTATTCGGCTTATAATATTCTGTCGGCATGGAAATTGTTACATTTAATATTGAGCAGATATTTAAACGAATGTTTACTATTAAGTAGCACGATTGGTCCCTGTGGGCTGAAGCAGACTGTGTTTAAACTTATCTGACCTATATCCATAGTCTACGTCGCTCTATTATTCACTATGTTCTCGACCCCCGGATCTGTCTATTAAAATCTCGATTTTATTATGATCTGGACTAGTTAGAGTGATGTTTCGAGTACGGTGGTTGGGTATTCGAACTTGGGACCTTTCTAAAGTAATCATTGAGCCATAGGGTCGCCGCTAATCATTTCGAACTAAACAATATTCTAAGTATAGTTTTCTTTTTGTGATCATTTTATTTATGGAAGGCGGTTCATTGATCTCGCTACGTTTATGAATCAGGTGTGAAATTACGTAGTTACGAACGCTGAACATGCTGAAGGATGTCAGGTTACTGAATAATAGACTCTGAGTGTAGGAGATAAGGTTTAGAATACAGTGGATGCATTTCGGGATTGTATCAGATATGACGTAACGACTTGTAATATTGGGTCAACAGTATTGGAAGCGAGATGACAATAAAGTTGTAAGAGAAATGGAATATACTGACTTACTACGTGCTAGTCATGTGCTACATTATTATTTAGTGTTATGACGTCCTCTCTAATCGGAAATCATACAATATTATTTCACGTCACTAGTTTTTGTTTATGAAGTTATATCTAAAATTTTTCTTTATTTAAATTTCCGCAAAATTTAATTCGCTGTTTACATATATTATAGAAATTCGATTTGCAATCGACACATCGGATTTATAAGACCCGGAGATAAAACGTAAAGTCCAAGGCCAAGGTTGAACGACGACTCCGACGACGTGAAGCGAGGCCTTCTACACGAATGTGGCGGTGCAGCGTCACGATAAGGCACGCCGAGTAAAAGTCAATATGTTTGTTGTATCGCGTGTAAAAACAATCGTTAATTATCTTTTACGAGGTGTTCTCGCCGGGCCCCCTCGTCCCGCTTGGCCCGCTTCCAGCTTCACGCCACTCCTAATATCTCATGACCGGCGCTACTTCTTAAACAGCCGCAGCTACCTTTGATAACTGTTCTCATGATTCACCTTAACTTATTTCTCAAGTGACTCACCTTCTTCCATGTTTATTAAAGCTAAGTTTTTGATTTCCACGAGCGAGATAATGTGTTATCGGTTGATAGCTCTGAACGTTACATAACATTGCATCACATAGAATTGTAACTTACTTTTTTCTACTTGGGTGACGAATGTGAGCGCACTGACTGAATATATTTGGTACATTTTCGGTATTCGAGATAATACTCGCGTTAACAGAATAAGGTACCTAAGTTTTTTTTACGCGTCGGTAAAATATCAAAGTTGTTTTAGGTATACTAGTAGAATGTTATAGCTCGGCGTGAGCGACGCGACGGTCACGGTCGTTGTATGTCAGGCCATTATCGCCTCTATCGAGCGGACTCAGTGTCTACAATTCCGTACATGAATAATGTATGCGGTCGGCCGTACGAGACCACCGTGAACTTAGATGTTGATATGTATGATACCACATTTAAAACATTAGATATCGTTTCCGTTTCAACGTTCTGCAAATACGTGAGGTCAGTCTTAGAAGGTTACGTAATAAATTATGAGCAAAAATTTGTAAGGCTCAAGGAAACTCAGGCAAGTTTTTATCTTTCAATTCGCTATATTATTCCGGGGATCTTCTTATAAACGACTCAAAACAACTTCCAAGTCCAGGGAGCTCAATGGAACGCTATTTGGCTTCACGCAAACCTTTTACGTACAGTACACCTGTTGCGAGTAACCGCGCCTGTCATCTACTGGTTATTCTAGTCAGTTTTATTGTATTTATTAATTTGCAATAATGAGACTTCGATATAGAACGGACAGAGGTGGCCGACCTCAACAATGACTTCGGAGCTGTTTGGAACGTGACAGATGTCTGTAAATAATAATAATCGCGTTTCAAAATAATGTCTATAATACTATAAAAATAGGCTGTCATCGATTTTCTTCACAAGGGTTGTACCAGGGCTCCATGAGACGCGAGGAGTGAGAGACTCGTGTACCGAAAATGATTCTATTTAGGAGATCACTGAGTTACAGTACTTTGACATCTGGCCCGTGATCTCGCCTCGGGTTTTACGGTTTCTGCTCGGATTATTACACGTAAATAATGTGATTCAAAGATATCCTAAAATAACAATCGGTTAGCCTTTATTGCGAGTCTTGAGGATGGATGTTAGTATAGACTGTATCACAGTAGGTAGTGTTATTGGTTTCTGTCTAGTGAGGAAAGGATCCACGTGGTGTAGACTCGACCTTGATCCAGCGACGCCGGCGGGCGGCGGTGCGGTATACGATTTCGCAATTTCGAGAAGAAAAACTACACTAAAATATTCTTCGTAAAACACCAAGGCCTTTAGAAAGTAACCGTCTGATGAGTTTGTATTTAAATTAGCAGAAAAGAATATGTTGTAAAGAACTCCGCGATGATTGTTGTGTGACCCGGCGACGCTCATTGTTGGTACACGGTACCACCCTCGTTATTACGGCCGCTCATGACACATTATGTTAAACAGCTGTGAATCAGCGTTTATGACGGGCTCGCTAATTATTTAAAACTACAGTTTATATGAAATTTTTGTCAATAATTAAAAGGAAACAAGATGGAATATAAACAGCGCATTATTTCGATGTCGGTTAAACAAACACAAATATCGTGAGACACATCTTACATGTGTTTAATTTAAAGAAATAAAATATATATAGAAGCAACATTAGCTCGGTACTAACGCCATATGTTTTGAGATGTTCAGTAATTCGCGAATGTCATAAATGGATGAAGAGCTCCTGTGTCTACACGTGGCACGGATCAAGCTTTTAAAACTCGCATTATTAAATTGGCTTGGACCAGAGTTTAACTCGCACTTAATTCGCAAGCCGGATAAAATTTTAAAGTAAATAGAAGTAAAAAACATACAAGCACAACATAAAACCTTTATCAACGCATCCTTTTAGTACAAAAAATAATTATTATATGACAAGAGAAAGACGTGCGATTTAAAACATTAAATTGCCATCGCTATTTATAATCCCAATATTATAAGCGATCATGGTTAAGTGATACACCAACGTTCACTTCCCCACTAACAATGAAATGTAATATCTGTTGAACAGAAATGTGATTTACGAGCTAACAGAAACGAGTCTTCTTTATACGCGTTAATATCGCTAAAGGTCAGCTTTACAAGGATAATATACAGAGGAAGGTAAATAAAGCAGTATTTAAAAATAATGTATCGTGCCACCGGCCCGCTGGACGGGGTTAGTGTGGAAAGAGTCTCATGCTGAGATACGAATATGAACCTGGCAACTTTATCAACGGATTATTATACTGACGAACATAACTCATTAAGTACGGATAACACGAAGCGAACGGTTTAAATCGTTTGATTATTTAAGACAATTGAATCACAAAAAGTAAAACGGAATACAAGCAATATATTATTTTCAAACTAGATGTTAATTTAAAAAGTCCATTTGAATGATGGATTGGTTAGGGCGAGTTGAAGAGTTATATCATACGAGAACTACGTCGCGTCTAAAGTGGGCGCCTGGGATGGCGCTAGAAATAACAGCTAGGAAAATTTACAAGCTTTTTACATAGCTACGTTTATGAGAGTATACTACCTGACACGTGGCAGGCTGAGGAAAACTGCAGTAGTGCGTCATAGGTCTAAATAATTCCATATAGTGGTTAAAGTTCACGTCATTTGTATTTCGCGTGGAAATGTTTGTTACAAGAACTTATTTGCTCAACTAAACTCAGGCGTCCCTGAATGCTGCAAGCCTTTGACTCGGCGACTTCCACGCGATCCTCTTCAAACAAAACACATTTCTCAGTGTGCGAGTTTTATTTACCTTAAGCTATTCAAGTCAAATTAAACAATCGATTGTGTTCCCGACGTGCAAGTGTCAGAAGTTTTTGCTGCGGCGTCATTATGACGGATCGAAATTGCAGAGTATCGCGGAGCTTCGGGTTCCTTTCAAACTAACACTCAATTAATTTGGGGTTCGATTTGACAGCACCAAATTACCGGCTGTAATTTAAAATGAGGTAAGACCGAATATACGAAGATACCTATCTAGGTCTCGAGAATTTAGGTCGAAAAGAAAAAGTGTGTGAATAGTTCGTTACAGAAGTGTAATTATCTACATGCTATGCATTGCTGCTCGGGGACGGGTGTTTAATAGATTAGTAGTACTCAAACATCGATGTATAGAGTCAGCTGTGCGGTGTGAGCAATGACGAATGAGAGGGGTTGACGAACGCGGCGTCTATTTCGGAGCGACTAAATGCAGCGCCGCTCACCGAGTGACATTTCGTCGGGCTAGGTGCATCCGACCCTAGCACCGACCACACACACACACATACATACAGTGAACACACTCACACACACACACAGGAATAGAACTATAGAGTAAAGACGTTAATAATAATGTGATAGTAATTATTAATTTGAGATATGTAGAAAGTGTGACGTGTTAAAGTATAAGACTGGAGGGGACGAGTTAGTTGACGACGGGATGAGGATGTTTGGCTTACAACAGACACATTCCGAGAGACACACGGACACATGGACACACGGACACACGGACGGTGTGATACGATTAGGAGCCGTGAGGTGTAGCAAATTAGATTAAACTGTGAAATAATTAGTTCGATCGTTAATAAAAGTAAACGCACGAACTTATAATTATATTTCATCTCGTCTTAAATCTCGAAGGTCGCGTCGTGGAGGCCGGCGCGGGGTCTGCGTTAGATGACGAGTGCTCGGGCCGCGGGTTACAGGATCTTGGACGTCACGTCGAAATACGACGGACCATTAAACAAAATTGATACACATCGACCACGGATTGGGTTACAAACATTTTAATTAGGGAGCGGCTGCAAGCGAGAGTAGCGCGCAAAAAATAAAGCCACGGCCTCACGGCGGACCCGAGCGTCATTTATAATTTTTTATATTGATTAAGTGTTATAGATGTTTATCAAACGACACCGAGATACTATATATTAATACGGACGTGATTTTTCGATGTTATATTTATGGCATATGTAAAAGATAATTTAATATATCGATAAGAATAATAATGAATTGAAAACTATTAATAATAACTCCTAACAGATACAGATCGATTTCAAATCGTTCTTATTGATTTTTTCATTCATCAAAACAATTACGGAACATTTTTTCTTTACCTCAATATAACAATATGATAATTTTTATTTCCTTAATCGACGGGCAATTAACAGACGAAATATATCACGACTTCGTATTAATGCTATAGTTAGCATTGACACGTATTTATTAATTTTGCGGGTCATCGACCTCGGAGTGACCTGTCCAGGATATCTATGTAGTGTTTATGAGCTGTTTCGCACGCACTCGAGTCGCAAGTCATCATGTGATTCAATAAAAATCAAATCAGTTACCAACATAACACAATCATCTACCCACTATATATGAGTTTACAGTATAACACGCGTAGACATAATAACGATAAAAAATACAAGGAACTGGTTTATATTGGTAACCTATACTATTTTTAAAATATTACATGTATAAATATTCTTAAATAAATAAATTACGCAATATTAAATCATTACAAACGTTAGTTTCCGTGGTGTGAATTTAAGATTCAAATGTCCTAATATGTATATAGTGTTATCTGTCATAATTAAGTAAAAGTGTGTGTTGTATTGTAGAGGTAGCTTTCGTTTTTAGTGGCGGCGTCCTGTTCAGGTTTGGACATCACTTTTTCTTTCGTTCCAGCTCTAGGAGCCTGCCTTGACCTTCAAGCGATCGGTCGCACGGGTCGTTCACCTCCGCCTCCCCGCCGCAAACCTTCCGCAAATTATAACATTCCGACTATTTACTATTCTTACTACAACATATTATATATATTTATTGACAATAAACACTCTAAACTATGATTTATATGTTCGTAATTAGGTGACGTCATGTATATTGGATATAATTGAAGCGTCAAGTAATTTATTGTTAAGTGAGTAGGCTTTCGGTGTTGGTAACATGAGAATAATCCTTTGTAAATAATGGAAATGGCTTTAAATGAGATGGAACTGTCTGTACAGTGTACAGTCACCCAGTGTACAGTGTACAGTCTGGAGTGTACAGTGTACACGTCTTGAGGGGCGCCTCGCGATCCGTGACGCCGTACGTTTCCGTCCGCAGTCACACACGGCGACCAAGCTTATCTAACACGCCAAGGACGGACCATTAATATACTACACACATACATCACACAAATATTTCCTTGTTTAATCTCATTTTATTATGTATGGTTCTTTATATCTAAAGAACCATATATAATAAAATGTCCGCGAAGCGTTTTAAGACCGTAGTGAGTGCATACAAACATTGACCTATCCTAACAGAGTGGTCGGTGGTACCACTGGCGGCGGATCATTTATTTGCGCGTGACCGTTGTAGTCGGTGAGACACTTCGTGAAACATACGAGCACTTGAATTATCGTGCGTTAACGGCGCACACATGAATGGTACACACAACGCCGGAGCGTACGCGATTCATTCAATTTGTTTACTTACGAGCGCCGCCGCGACGCTCCGGTCAAGGGCGCAGTCCATCGGCCGCTCCGAACACGCCCAAATTACCATCCTACGGTCCGCGAGCTATACAGTACGTACACGGCGATGTATTAGACACATCGGACAATTATAACTTACGAGTGGCGTCTCACACGTTTCCTGATTTTCGCAATAAACTGATCGAGAATTTAACATATATTTTAATGAATGGTCGTTTTATAATGAGGAGCCTCGTTATTCGGACTCGTCTCCATTCAAGTCCGAGTCATATCTTATCTAAAACTTATACAGATCAATCAGACTCGATTTTATGTTAATGTTAGTACTAATTAATGAAGTAACGGCAGCGGCGGTGCTGAAGGCCACATGCTGGCACCACGTGGTGGCGAGACCTTCGCGCCGACCACCAACTCCTCGGTCGTTTACTCCAATTACGTAACACCCGTGTAACGACTCGCTATATAATCGACGGAATTTTTATTGACTAATTATTCGTATTTTTTTTTATAAGCGGTGAAGTCAGCGGATATCGCTAAATATTCAAGCATTGTATCATTCGAGGCTAACAATAACGTGCAAAAAATTCAACCATCGAAATTATCTCACGTCGATCGTCGATGGGCCTAATGGCTTCAGATGGACTTGTTCTAATAAGACGGGGAGGCTCCTCCGCATTAATACAGCAGGCTGTGCGAGATGCCACATTCCTCGACGATGACTCGCCCAGCCTACCTCCGAGGAACGGACAGTTGTTCTTTCCCTGTTTGTCCGGTGGTCGATGTGTTATTCAGATGTTACTATTTCCATAGCGCCAGTTGATCGGATGAGTCGTTAAGTATCCTCGCTGACCGGCCGAGTCAACGCCCAGACGGATTAAAGGGCCGATTAACGAGCACTGTTTAATTTATTACCGGAATAATAAAAGCTCACGGAAGACCGCCGGCGAGCGAGCGATCACATAACTCATCGCTGAAATGTCAACAAAACAATATTCAGTCATCTGTATGTAGTCACTCTGTGTTTCAATATCCGATTGCGATACATTCTTTGTAGTGGACGGTCAGTATCCGATAAATAGCGACGGGAACAACGAGACCGTTCTTAGTATAGTTCTAAAGAGGCCACCGTCGATAAAACGAGCGGAGAACATGGAATCCTCGTAAATAGGTTTAGGTAACCGAATGAGTCGCGTGGCTCTCGTAACAGGCTGCATCTGTTTGATAAGGTCGATAGCGTTATCTAGACCGGAACATTGGGCGAGATTCGCCGCGGAGTACCTGGGGAGAGTGACTGATAAGAAGGTTACTCGACAGACCGAGCCAGCCAAGGTCGGGGCAGATGTGGGAAGCACAACGACTCCTTCACAGTTATCACAGGAATGTTTGACGAACACAAACAACGAGCGGCGCGCTCACGAGCGGCGGCCGCGGCGGTTATTACGAGCGAACGGACTGTGGCGTGAGAATACACTGCTGCGTATTAGAACCGAGCGGCCATAACACAACACGTGCTGCGTGGCGATGGTCACCGGGTAGAACCGTATCTGACTAACGCATTATTAATATATTAATTAGGATACGAGCAGCGAGTGAGACGTCCTCCGGGAGGCCGGCGATAAAAAGTTCACGCGCTCGGCAGGAGGCGAGAGGACGCGCCGGCTGACATTCCAAAACAGATCTTATTTATTTTTAATAATGGCGATGAACGCGCGAGGTGTTTACCTTCGATGGTTCCCGCCAACACACTATTTGTCCGATTATAGTAACTGTATTCGGCGCCACTCGCAGTGGTCGCAGTACACGGCTGACACGGCGAAAATCATTCTCTGGAAGGAATGCGGTCAGAGGCAGTGGGTCAGTGTACTCGGCGGGAGCGCGCCGGGATCCCGGGCCCGAAGGCCGTCATCATTAAAACGACATCGAAGGCGTGGGAATATATTAATGGCGAATTAAACGAGCCCGAGCTGAGGACTTTGGCGATATTAATGAAACAGTAAACTTAATAAACAATGAAACTGAAAGCCGCGGGGGTAGCGTCCACAAAAAGACGAGTCAGAGCCGCCGGTCGCGATGCGTCAGCGCAATGCACTTCTCCCGTCCCTCTCTCCGCGCACTCGTCTCCGTACAGCCGTCCCTGTCGCTCCAGGGGTCACCGCGAGCCCCGCGGCGGCCATCTCGCTCTGTGAGATCACACCACTCTGAGGAAGTGTATGGAGTATGGTCCGCGACTGCTTTGCATAGCGTAATGAGGCGAGCTTTAGAACGTTAGGTGTGAACGGAGACGTTATAGGAGTGAAGGTTCACGCTCGCGACACTTCCCCGTCTCGAGCAGTGATAGTGCAGCCGTCTCTTTCGCGGCAGACCTTGCCGTGCTGTTGATCCGGCCAGGTTCAATATCCCAGACCTTGGACGATCGAGAGTACCGATGGCCGGTTCGAACTAGTTACCCGTGCTTAACATCTCGCGAGCATTTATTATTTACGATCTATATTTAGTTTATCGACTGTGTGAAACAATCACTGAAACATGTTCAGGAACATCCGCGGACATAGGACTTAGGAAATTAATTATTACATAGTGTTAGAGCGGCGACACAAACGATCACAGGCGGAGTCACGTTTAGACATATACGAGGCGACATAAAAATTGGTTGTTTACGATTTGTATACCAGGAAAACTAATGAAGCGTCGGTGGTCGGCGCGGGGTCCGCCTCGCGAGCGGTCGGTCGGCCGGTCGGGCGCACCCACCGCGAACATAAGAGACGTGCCAATTAGATGTCGGCCGGATCGCTAAAATATAAATATTAGTAGAACCGACAAAGGTTTTTAATCACCGATCTCGATACGTTTTATTCCTTTTGCGGTCCAAAATTACAGACCGCGAGTTCAGTCACCCCGAACGCCGCGCTCGGGGCATCTATGCTCTCTGGAATCGTGTGAAAAATTACCCAAGATTCGCTTTTATTACACATTTATAAGTGGGATCCGATATATATAATTTCACATCCGGTCGGGCGTATTCGGGCGCACGCGAATGCATTATACCAATTAGATTCTGCGAAATCGAGACAGCGGTGCGTGGTGTCTTCATTGATCATAAATAGAATGATTGAAAATAAAAAAAGAGAAAAACGAAAGCGCATCGGACGGAGTGCGCCAAGGTTGTGTGGTAGGGAGGCGAGCGACGCGATGACGAAACGAGCGGCGGAAACGATGCGCGCTCATAGTTACGGTTACAGTTTGACTTAGAAGAAAGTGTTTCATGGCGCGTGGGGCAGGTCAGGTCACAGCTCGGTACTGGCTGCATGTACCCGCTGCCCGCATGGAGCGAACGTTTGATTGAAACGATTGTTTGTACGAAACAAGAAAGCAGGCGACCTCCAGTCACATGTTCTCGATAAATACATTAATTGTGACCGACGCGTGTCCGGCCCGGAGCCGTGTATTTATACGATACTTCAAAAAAATGTTTATGATTACCCGATTTATGTATGATTAATGACATATAACTTATAACATACTCCCATGTGTGCAATAGCGAAGGATATTTACCTGCGGACAAATAAAAATAAACATTAATGACTACATTGCAACAATAAAACCATTCAAGTAACATTTTTACTGCACAGACGCTATAAAATAAATGTAAACGACAATCTCAGAACAACTTTTTTTTTTTCGTCAAAATAAAAAAAAACAATCGTCGATTTTTATCGATTTGTCTTGTTCTTTAATGATAATGCCGATTAAATATAAAATAATATTAACATTAAGACAATATTTTAAATACCGAGACTGAATTATTGAGATATTTATAGCAGCTGCTCAGAATAAAGCGTCCGTACGATACACGTACAAACATAAGTCAACACACACGTATGTATATCTGTGTACATACAGTACGTTTATTGTGTAAGTCATTATTGAAGCCGCGGTATGAAAGTTTTGTCGCGTGCTGTAAACACAGAGATCCAAACATAATCCAAACATCTAAATTGTTGCTACATCTCCACTGACGTATTGATGTTAAGAACAATCGACTCGTCTGGAATTTATTGGAACAAACGAAACGCTATGACGCGAGGGAAATGTCACTTAAGATAAATATTATCTGACTTTCACAAATACGACTGTACGTATAGATTCATCCCGGGTGTAATGTGACAAATGTTTAGACGGGTCATTGTTTGGACGGCAGTTTATTATATTAACATATTTAATTATGGCGTCCGCACCAAAATATGATGTACATGAATTCTAATAACACAGAGAACATCTCGTACAATATACGTCATGAATAATGAAGAAGTGCTCTAGTAAAGTGATGAATAATGAAGGAGCGGGAACGATGCGTCAGCGTCTCACTTACTAAAGAAATTATAAAATGATTAAAACATTCGTGAACCGAACTATTCAGGCTACGGACCCGGCAACACAGTTCTACATAACGACAGCCGGCAGCCGAGTTTGGAGGGGCTCGTATTGAAACGCGAGTACTAGACGACACAAAAGCGTATAAAGAAACGTATAAGCTTATAAAAGTGGGCACGATATGTTTAAATAGTCGGCTTAGCGTTCGCGTTTCCGATAGGCAGTGAGGCGGCGACGTATGGCGAATACAAAGTGAGTCACGGCAACACGGCGCGGACTTAAACTAGCTAGCTAGAACATTCTATTCATATTTGTCCATTTAATACCTATTTATAAAATTTATATGAACCCTTTAGACGTCCGCGACGCTCTCTGCTAACAGGGGAATATGTTTTACGAATCATTCCTTTTAGGTATGTTTCTTTTTGGCTGTCCTTGTTCCCAGACAGTTGTTCTTATACAACTCATGACGTGTACAAGTAAATCGTTAAAATTTTTAGTTCGAGATAAAAAGTAATGAACGTATTCTCATCAGTGGACATTATTGTCCTCTCGGACATAATTCAACGTACCGCGAGCAGTAAAATTAAAAACGCGTAAATGAAGCGGTGGGCCGCTCCATGCCGACTTCAATTAAATTTCGCGAAATGTGAACAATAAGAAATAAAATGGAGCCTTTACGATTTTTCTGTCAGACTCCGGTCTGGGGAGATGGTCGTAAAATGGGGAATGCAACGGGTCCGATGTGGCCGGACAGCGAATGGGAGATGAGAGGTCACCGCGGAACGGCCGGCGTGGATTTGGACGGGGTGGTTTATTACCCCAGATGTAGGTCACGAGCGTTCAACGACGCTCAACAAATTGACAAGAAACAATAAGCACACCTTAAACAGTATACATATGTGTAGAGTGTAGACGAAGACGTGGGAATCGAGGTGGCAGATATGTATTAAAGATGCGGCGAACTACGTGGCGGAACGATTGAGTGCAAATTTTGATTTTGTAACATTGAATTGGCAGGCATCCCTCGCACGAGAATACTCGCGGAATGCAAAGAGGAATCTGGATTCGTCTTTGTTGCGGATTCCCAGACGTCGGCCACGGCGAGAGGTAAAAAGCGGCCACTCGGGCTGCCTTTTATATTATGAACCGCGATCGAGTTATTAGTTGTCGAAATGACAACTGTGCTATGTCGTGGCAGCACACTTTACCGTTACGGAGCCCTAAAAAACGGAAAAAATAACGAAGGGCGATAGGGTCGCGGAGCCAGTTCTGTTGTTCCCTATTCTTTTCCTTTTGATTTAAATTCGAGTCTGATATTATTTGATAATATATTATCCCTTTATATTTATGGTACTATTCATAGGAATTTAACGATTATATTAGTAACTTTAATTTATACAGAGATTTAAAGGGAATCCCAATAATAAGTGGTATGCAAGTAACACTGTTATCTAGTGACATATTGAACCGCCCGGAAAGCAATAAGTCAACGACTTGCTAATAAAATGAATGAAGTCCTCCAGTCCTCACCAATTACAATAAACTGGCGTGTACTCTGTTCATTACCTAATACGTTAACTCCTAATTTGACCGTTACCCAACTAATTATTTAGATTTAAGTAACAATAAACACATGCAATGGTTATTTTTATTATTATCTTTAAGATATCCGTTTGATATTCCGCCAGAACCAATATAATAAGTTACCTTGTCTAATGTTCTAATCTATTAGTAAAGTGATCGCCAACCGTCACAGTACTCGTGATTCTCAAGCCGTCCGTTGGTTTCGGTTAACGTAAGTATAAACAACAAGTAATGTCAGCAGAGCAGACAGACGTGGAGCGTGAGATAATGTTTATTTATAAGTGCATAAATAAGATGGAAGGTCGCGGCGGAGGCGGCGCCGGGGTAGGTCGGGGACGAGAGGATTTTATACATTGCACATCTGACGGCTCACACCCGAATCATATTAGAACATCACGATGATTGATGACCGATCACACGCCGCGGCCTTAATTTACACATTATATTCGTTTATACGACGCCTAGAGCCGTAACTGTGCGCCCATTGTGAGCCGAGTCATCCTAGCCGTCTTTAAATTCGTAAGCTCGCGCCCGACCTCCACGTGCTGCGTTATAAATAACAGACCTTGATAATACTGCACACTTTATTGTCAACTCGAGTAAGCACAATGAATTATTGAAAGTTACTTATCGTATAGGACATAAGTAAGTGGAAATTAATCATCGCGTTGGAGAATATAAAGAGAAACTCGCTTATCAGACGCTCATAGCATACGATCACATGGAATTTTAGGTCTTGTTGTTTGTTATCTATCTTGTAAGGTACATTATATGTTTATTGTATGTACAAATAATATATACACATCAATGTAGTCGCCGGTACCAGGACAGCATGAGAATGGCGCAAGTTGTAAAATTGCGTGCGACCACAAGACATCCGGCGAACAATCGCGCGAGCGCCGGACGAAAGCTCGCCGGATGCACGTAATACGCAGATCGCGGGAGGTTTTGTTTATTGGTAGCTAGTGTTGGCCTCTGGCTTTGTCTGTTATTGATGCTATCGCCGAATAAAATGTTACGAAAAAATAAACTAAACGAAAAAAAATTTATTGGATAGAAAATATATAACCCTTTTCGAACCTTTTTTTATATACAAAGGATTTGTTATGGCTGAGGTATATGTTCGGTATTAGGAACGCATACTAGTATAGGTGGTATCGAATGAAGCGGTTTATCATTTGTCACCGCAAACTAGTGAAGCCGTGGATGTGTGGGAGACTTGATCTGGTTTATCTATGCACTTGTCCACAGCGATGAACTCCTATGTAGTTTTTGTACTCCTGGTATGTCTCAAGTGTTATTTACATATAAATACAGGGAAAAAATATCTTTACAAAATATTTATTTTATGTAGAAAAATAACTTGTAAGTGGTCATTAATAACCGCGAAAGGAAATTGCACTTACAATAAAAGCATCGAAATAATAAAGAAACACCGTTCGTTCTTGAAACACAAGAAACCCTTTGTTCTGCTGTAATTTTGAGGATGAATGAGACTTCGATGTTTTTATGTTTTGTGAACTTCAATCCGTAGTAACAGAAAAATCAGATCACGCGACCGGGACCGCTCCCAGCTTTACTGAATATCATGTAAGAAACATTTAGACTGAACGTACTTCAACTATTTATTACAGCCGGCCTTCAACACGTAGTCTTGATAGGTTAATTGCTGTGAACGGATTACCTTTGGCAGTTTTTTTCCTCGATCCCAAATCTCCGCGGTCTTTATGATTCATAATTACAATACGCCGGAGAGGCAATCACCCAACCTGTCATTATACTGATCAAATAACTAACTATTTATACATTCACATATAAACCGCTCCGAACTCTATTAGCCCGAGCCGAGTTCCCCTTCGATATATTTATTTATTAATTGGCAAATTGATGTTGAAATTAAATAAAGATGCTTGATTTATGACCGTTTTTTAGTACACGAATTCCGCGGTCGAGATATAAAGAGTTGCCTTAATAATATTTGCTGTAACGAAAGATTATGATTGATAAACATATTTTTTGTTAGTTTCCGAGGATTATGATGCTGGTACGATCCGCGGGACCGCACGAGACGTTCCTCGCCTTACATGACAGAAAAAATTAATACAAACACATACATATACTAACATATGATCTCATTAAAGGTCATTCTGTTTAATATTAGTATAAAGAAACATATAAAAGTGTAACCGAGATCGTTTTTATTGTAAACATGTCGGAATGAGAATAAAATAATTTATAACTACAATTGATATTATCGATTAACAAGATAAATTTAAATTTATTACACCGATATAAAATGCACGTAAAATTTATTCAAATAGACACGTCACGTATGTTGGTGTGTGTGCGTGTGTGTGTGTGTGTGTGTGTGTGTACCAGAGATCGTATTCTTACAGCGTGATGTATTATTATAATGAGATAATAACACGTCTAGTCCCATACCGCGAATCGGTTAGTTTTTTCCCCTCGCGGCCCGGTGTTGCCATGTCTGTCTGATTATCCCCGCCCAGTTTAACTAGTTCAAGGTTGACTTCACGATTGACTGCTGAGCTTTATTTTTGTTTGAGATAGGTCGTCTTTAGGTCACCGGAGTCACCCGATGCCGGAACGGACGTCGCAGCACAAAGAGACCGGTGTTGCTACATATGAATAATTACGAGGACAATTTAGCATACAGTAGAACGAATATTGTCAACATTATACCAGTTTTTTTGGGTATAAACGTAGTCTATTAGGAGTTGGGACATTTATTATAACAGATACACACCAATAAAATATCCAATTTAAAATTAATTACCTACTTATCATAAACGAGATAAGGTTGAAACGGATTTAATTGTGACGACACAAAAAGATGTCTCGCTGAACGAAAACATTAAGTTATTTGGTAACAGAGTGCATTGTACTCTAAGATGACCGCTTTAGGGGGCATCACGACCAATAATGCACCCGAGGTAGATATAGTTCACAATTAATAAATAAATGAAAACCTCGCAATTTATATTAAATATTAATATATTGTATGGAATTTAACTAGTTAATATTCCAGTACCGGGCGTGTAACAGTTAATTTTAACATGTTATTCTAAAACTGACAATACGAGACATGATTAATTACAGCGATGACGCCAGCTTTTAACTACGAACGGATGATTTGGTTGTTCTTAATGTTCGAGACATTACATTACAGACACTCACATAACAATGATTTAAAATAAATTCTTTAATTGGTGAAGGTGTCATAAAACGGATATTAAATCGGTGTAGTGGTCGCGAGCCCACCTCAATGTGACTTACAAGTAACATTGTTGAAGCCCACCGTCCACTAATAAGTCATCCGTGTGCATACATTAAGATAATCTGCGAACTATCAAAATGTATGTCAACCGGCGGCCGGCTTTGATGTGTGGCGGACCTTCGGGGGCTAATGAGCTAGATAATTGGAACATTTGACTACATATCAATTACTTATATATAATAATATTAATATATATCGCGTTACAGACTATCCAAGGTATAAAATATTTCGTTTTCACGGTCGGGGAATGTAACATTTTTTCCGTCCGTATTCGGTACGGTATGACGTTATTAGTTTTTCGTCTTAAAGCGATAAACATCTTAATGAATTTTGAGACGCTTTGTTCGACTTCGATGTTTATGTGGAATAAATCGTCCGGAGACAAGTCGGCCGCATCAAAGCTCTATGGATCGATGTTCGGAATTCAGCAACCACTATAAGTCGCCCCCCGAATTACTTCACACTCCACTACGATAAATAGGCATCGCCATCCTGAGAAGCTCATATTATAGTGGTCCTAATTTAATTTCTATAAAAAATGTCGCCATTTTAAATCAAATTCCCAAAATAGCTTTAGCGAAAATTTATAGCCTTCGTGTTTCATTACGAAAATTTTAAATATTATTTATCGGTCACCAAGTCATAACCCTCATACGATTCATGGATATATGTTTTTTTTAATAATATATTTTATTTGAGTGTGTTGTATAATGAGGTTTCACGGTCGGTAGATCTCGTCAGCTGTTCTAGTACAATGCGCTACAGTCGTACTACGTTTCAACCCTAATTAAGGGGAGGGAGTGACTGTGTCAACACTGATAAACAAAAACAGAATATAACGACGATATTCATATAAAACATATTAAAATAAAAACCTTGTACCGCCGCCTTATATAAATAAGTTTATAATATATTTAAAGATTACGCCCGTAAATATACACAGTATTCAGATATCCGGTACAATAACAAAGGGTTATATAATTATTAGGTCAAAAACAATAAATTGTATAGCATACTTTCACTCACGTTTCATATAGGTTTCTTTGCAAAACATTAAAAACAATATGGCGGAGAACAAAGGTGCGTTCAAGAGATTCCGGCGCAAAAACGAGATCGGCTGAATGTTGGAAATAAAGATGAAAAAAAATATTCCGAGAAGCGTTGACCGCCTTGCCAATTATAATAAAATTGTTTTTCAATACCGCCGGCGGAGAGGCTAGCGAGTTACAATATAACATCTAATAAACACCACGCATCATATTTAATGACATATTTTGCTGTTTTGTGAATACTTTAAGTACATTGAGGACATCATTTGTCAAATTCAAATTTCAGAAGGCACGTCGCTAATCGTTCGTGGGGCGGCGTGCTTCAATAGTAACCTACATCTGTATTCGCCTGACACTTAATGTCTGTGTGTCACAGAAGGATGTCGATTGTCCAAGACTCGTCTCGTAGGTCCGACTCTAAGGATTATTACTGCGGAATGCCGCCCGACTGCTCTCGCTTTCAGCCGCATCGCCAACTCCCGATACGATCGTACTATAGCAATTTACTAAGTTACTTTAAAATCGACCTCCGATAATTATATTCTCTCCGGGCGTTGTTTCTTGTTAGTCTCGTCTCTCGGGTGAAACCTTCAATCAGGACTCACAAATTTATCAATTTTTACAAAAAAAAACTTATTAATTATTATTACAAGAAGTCGCGTGTCTCGAGCGTGGTCCTCGTACTTTAATGATGACCGGCGCGGCGCCCCGGGTGTCAATTGTACTTAAAAGGCTTTAAAGGAGGCGCATTACTGCAGTTTTAAATAATGTTACCGTAAAAACAAGACCGCTCTGTTGTTTTATTATGAGATATGTCTCGAGTTGGTTGTGTTGAAAAAAAAGGTACCAGGGCAGCATGAGTTATCAGGCGATGCGATCGGGCCTTGTAAAAACTCAAGTTAGCGGCAGGTGTGGCGGCAGATGCGGACTCGCGGTGTACACATCAATTCTACATATTTCGTTAACCTTAAATACATATTAATTTGACTCGAGCAGACGTACTTAAAGAAAGTTTCTCAATAAAAATTACATTATTGTACCGCTCGGCCTTTAATAGTGTTCAAACCAACGTCAACTGTCATTCAGCTTTATTTAAATTATATTTCTGTATGTTTTTGTAAATATGAATAATATTCCATGTGTGACGAACACGTGTTATCCACCGCAGACGTCATTAAGTGCGTTTCGTTCCGTTACAGTTAGAGACGTATCAATAACTAATTGTTTTCCGGAGCCAACAGATGTCGCCCTTCCGTCAGCTGGGTCACCTCTAGCGGAACACATCCTCGACATACGAGTGTATTATCAAAACCAAATATTATCAGAAGCCAAGGTGAGCGGGAGTTGTCTCGATGCTCGCCTAATTACATCGACCTCAGAAGCCGGCAGGTGGCATATGAGAGCAAGAGCCCTTCACAATAATTAATGACGCGAAATAATGTACCAGCATACGAGACGAAAATCTGAAGACTGGCGACACGCACGCTGCCGGCAACACGACACCGACCATTGAACATTTTCACGAGGGAAATATCGGCTTACACGAGAGACCGCCACCCACTACGAGCACGGGGACACTAGCGCCGCGCCCCGACGGCGGCCGCGGGCTTACGAGCTACGTGACGGAGTGCTCCCACGAAAAACACTAGTATTACACAGTAAACAAGATTCAGTTACCCTTGCACTCAGAGGACGTCGACCCCGCACCGAACAAGACTCAAATAATAAGGCATATCTCATTTGAAACGTGCATTTAATTTATTGCCAATAGTGTAGAGATAAGGCAGGTAACAATTGAGGAGAGCAGGTAGAACCTTTCACTGGAATTTAAACACCCGACTTAATAACTATTCCGCGCGGGGCTTTTGAGGCCGGCATTTTTTCAGTGGTCATTTAATGCCAACGGTTGTGTTTTTAGGAAAAAAAAACTCATTTCTATCGGTCGTGAATTTAATATACATATGACAATATCTTAATCAAATTATGTTACCACAGTCTAACAATTTAAAACATTTATCAAACTCAAAATACATAAATTGCCCAATATTTATGTTAACGGCTAATTCTATAGAATAACATTTTCCTGGAATAATATTAATTTATACATAATTTTTAGATAAACACAAAATTCGGTTCGTTCATACAAAAATCTAAGGAACAATAATTACTACGATGTTTCCTTCGTGATAACAGATTGATAACCTCACTTCCGCGGCCCCTACTAAGGTATACAGAATGCGAATCATTTAATATCAGATCTATGAAGACAAACAAAAATAATCATATTAAATTCATAATAATTATTAAATATTTAATACAGTATTGAAGTTTAGTCGAGTACATTAAGTTGTAAGGATATAATAGACGAAGGTTACTCGAACCGAACGCTCGCCGGAAATATTAACAGTACGAACAGCTGTCGTTCAGAACGTTACATTGTTTTTATAATACCATTTAACGGTTAACGTATATACAAATAACACGAGAGAAGCAGGAGGAGAAACCTTGTATAGAACACACCCGAAACATTGACTCGATCTTATTAATATTAATATGCCATTAAGAGCATTAAAAATGAATTAATAGAAATAATATTAAGATATATGTACACAGAAGGTGTAATTTGCTGTTGTGTAGGAAGTAATTAATTTCACAATGGTTTTATATTTTATAAATAACAGGCCGGGTGTTCGCGGGCACGGAGTTTAAAACGAAATATGTTAAACGATCACAATATATACATATATTTATTATATAGTTTATTCATTGGGAACCCTAAATTGTAGTTTGTTCCTTGCATATATACCTAAACTATTTTTAAAACCTAAAGGGCGTTGACCGACATTAATAAGGAATTAATTTATCGAACGAACATAAATAAAATAAAGAATTGCACAACTTATAATGTCATTAAATTAAAAATTCCTATGTATAATCTCAATAAGTATCACATAGCGGTGTTATACCATCGAAATGTATAATGAAGAGATAAGGTTCTGATGTAGTGACAGTGAGTTGATCCATTACGAGTGGTGTTATCGATGGTTCTAAAGGTACGGTTGGCAGGTGGGGCTCCAGCGACCGTTGAAGAAACGTTCGAGACGGTTGGCAGATGTTAAACCGCCACTATAAGTAGATTAACGTGTTTGTTCTACAGCAATTTGACCTTTTTAGACTTACGAGACGTTTTAATTACTATCTCGATGACTAATTAATTTCGTATTCCTTTTTAAAGTGTCGCGTTCAGAGCTAAAATATATGGAATACACGTGTTGTCCTGTTGCCACTTGCCAGCTAGATCGGGCACATTCTTCGCGATAACGCACATCTGCGTCGGAGGCATTAGCATCATTAAAGTACGTCAGAAAAAATAATACTATCTAGAATAATGTAGACGGACAAATATTAATCTCGAGGGGAAAATTACCATCGCATGGATCTGGAGGACAGCGTGTAATGAAAGTTGGCGGCTCTCATTACTAGCGCTGGATGAGGAGCAAATCGAAATGGGAGTCAGTGTGACTCGCGGCGCCGGCTGACACGAGATGGATTGTTGTCAACATTAGTGCGGGAAGCATATCGACTTGTCGCCCTACAATGCGTCCACCGACACCCCGCTTCAAAAGGTCTCACATGCTAAACTCTGATACACGAGAATAACTCTAATGATAAACAACGTAAAGCTCATTTCACTGTCACAACCCGTCGGCGTGTAAGACTCGATAACTGTACCATAAATAATCGCTCCATTCGACAAGTACACGTCGCGAGACGTCTGGTATTCAATTTGAAGCTTAGGAGCGAAACGGCTCAAGGTCCACAATTAAACGGAGGAATATATTTTTCGCGCCGGATTACGGGTTTATTCGTGCTGCCGCGGCAATTAGGAAGTCATTCATTAAGGTCCCTAAGTTTCGCAGACGTGGGGGTGCCGACTGGCTGTGACGTCGGGATGATCCTCGGGAACTAGAGCTGATCGGATACCAAAGCATCCGAACGATAGTCCAGAAACAAGCTAACGTTACAAAAAGATTCCACAACACAATACAAACAAACCCGAGTCGTGTAGTTTGTTTCTACTGCAGCTATGTATGGCGCCACCGCTTTGGAAGCGGCGAGGGAAAGAGACGGGATGATTGGATGTGTTCCTTAAAATATCTTTAGAATCATCGTCGATTTTGATACATATCCGTAGACGAAGTCATTTCCGAAAGCGAGAGAGGGACGGGAGATGCGGTTAGTGTCGCTCCAGAACGCATCTGTCAAGTTACACAAAAAACGGGGTCGTGGAATTTCGGGAAGACTACGGGCCGGGACACATGCTCTCATACATTTTTTATAACAAAGTTTCATTCAAAAATCGTCAACGGATACAGATTTGTGTAATCTCGTTAAAGTAATAGCAACCACTTAACAGACGATGCGAAGGGCCCTTCCGATCGGCCATTTACGAGTTTTAAATGAACTGACTCGACGGAGGATGAGCGTTGCGTAATAGATTCACAAAATGTAAAGTAACTTTCTCGAGAGGGCCACGTCACCGCGTGTACTAGGCGCTCAGGAGTGTGCAGGAGCCGAAGCCTTGACCCTGAGTGAGGTGGCGTCGACCGGAACGCACGCCGGTTACATTGCGAATCTCTTCGATTTCTTCTCACCGCTCCGCCAGTGTTGCGGTCTTAGTACTCACTACTCGCACGTGTGATTTACTAGATTGTTTTCTCTTTCGTTCGCCGGCGACCAGATCACACGCCGCGCCAGGACGTTAACCAGCGACGATTTATTGACGTGTTATAATTAATGACTAATAACAACATTACGATCATTACTATACGCGTGTTACATATAATATTATTAATGTAATACCTTAGTACGGGACCCGTGTGAAACGAAAGGACGGTTGGAGTCGAAAATCAAGAGTTATTGTACATAAAACATGAGTATCGTGTAGTGAAGTAAACAGAGGCCTAAAGAGGGGTTGGCAGTCATTGATGTAGAACCGGTCCTGGCGCTCGTCACTAAACCGGCTCGTGACGGACGGGGATGAATTACTCACGGGCAGGAAGGCACTGCTCCGTAAATACATAATGAGCCGTACAAGACGCGCAACCAGCGAAGAATCCTTGGAACAAAGTGTGGATGTAGACCGCGGACGACTCGCCACTACAAATCAAAGAGACAAACGTGCCGACAGGAGGTTCGCTCTCCATCGATACACTCTCGACGGCCGTGTCCCGCTGGCTGGCGGGCTGCCGGCCGGACATGACGTCACAATGTGTCCGTGCGTAAATGCGAGAATTTTAAACAACCTCCTTTTGGTATATTGCGTTGTCTTAAACACATGTCATTGAACATAAACACGGCCGCTGCTGCTAGTCTTATTACTATGGGGTTAAGGTGCACATTGCGCCCGCTCTCGAGAATCCGTCGAAGGATGTGTCTATTTTACATTCATGTCATATTTTGTGCGTGGTTATAAGGTCGTTAGAAATAACATGTCGTCGGGAATACGATGCGTATAATATTCACAAATATAATTAATCGTACCATACGAATATTATTAGATTAAATATTAAGTTATATATACCATTAAACGAAGCGTACAAGTCGCCTTAGAGTGGAAGATTTAAATGTTTGCAAAAAAAACCTCAGGTAAGTAAAGAGAACCTCCTTTATGATAAATAAAAACTTCCACGCGAAAGCACTTGTGTGTTTCCAAGAGCGTATTGAATTTCTACCATTCTACCATTGTGCCTTTACTTAGCGGACAAAGATTAAATTCTAAAGACGTTCTTTGGACGTTTTGAATGTTGTGTCAGAACTCAGACATCACAGAAACAAGAGACGCTCCTCGATCGAACGATCTTATTAAATAATGAACGACCGCCAGTTAATGAATCTAACTAGTCCTCGACCAACGAACGGAAGAAACTAAAACATACAAAACGAACTTCAGCTGGAATGGACCGGCCTAAATATAGCGATATAACCTACATTACAATACGAAATGCTCCGCAGATGGCACCTTGTCGCAATAAAGAGCTTCGCTGTTAACATTTTCGGTGAAGCCGAGCGTTCGGTAGTCGAGTTAGACAAGGTTGCAAGTGTCGCGACTGGGCCGCTTTTTTGCTTTGCTTTTACGAGTCGGCTGGAAATGCAAGGGACATAAGTATAGTTGACTATAATAATGTATTATTGTTCTTGGGAAAGGCTTCCAAGCTCTCTGTGACGACGGCTGAGCGGGCGTTATTTATGTGAGCGTTCGATCATTTGTATACATATTAATAAGTTTATGTTGTGTACAATACATAGTTCTTGATGATTTACTAATATAATCTACTTGAATTGATTGATGAATATAAAAAACGGAATTATTTTTTGTTGTAAGCCAATAAACACGATATTTATTACGATTACGTGCCTTATTTTAAAAATAATAATTACCTTTCCATTTTATGATTTTACATGTTTTCGAATAAATGCAAACATTATTGAATAGGTTAGTCATTAATTACAGAGATTCGTATCAAAACTAAATTTGTTTTGAGGGTAGTTTAATAATATCGTAATAAGATACCCTATTACATCGAAGAAAATACCTCTCACAAAGCGTCCGGCCCGACTCCCCGACTGCTATACAATTAAGTTTTTTCGCAAAATCCGATGAACATTTCAAAAAATTAGTTTCAGATAAGCCGGCGTCGAAGCAGCTTTGTCGGTATTTTTTATAAGACGCTCGAGAAAAACTACAACATCCCCGAGGGTATCGTTTTTTGTGTGTTTAATTAGTGAATAGTGTTCCGACCAGTCGACGGGTAGGTCCGACGAGTCTGCTATCAAACATCCCACACTATCTAACGTTGTATGTTTGCTCTGTACACGGCACACGGTACACCTTATCACAGGCCGTGCCTACAGACGCTACGATCTACGATATTAAATCTGAGCCGCTACGAAATACCTACATACATACTGCGAGTGCGAGGTGAGGAGTCGCGTTACGGCACATTGCGATATCGCCGTTAGCGGGTAAACAAACAAAACACAGCGGCGAGGGCCGGGCTGGTCGAACATAACCTAGAAGCCGGCCGGCGGCACGTGTGTAGGGCCTTATGTAAGGGTGGCGGGCCCTGCCTACCTTGTCTGCCGACGATCTCCGCGACGTGCTCCGAGGAAGGCACCGGCACGCACTCCGTCATGTTCTGTGATTTCTTGGCGCGGTCGTCGGGCGGCGGCGCGAACCCCAGCGGGCTGGCCATCGGGTTGGAGGCCGGCAGGCTCTCGCCGAAGTTCAACATGCTCAGCTCGAGCGCCAGCTGGAAGGCGCGCGGGTCCTCCACCAGCCCCCCGCCCAGCTCTCCGAACAGGCTCGACGGCATCTCCACTTGAGAGGCGATCTTGACTATCGACGAGAGGTTTCCCTCCCGACTCACTAAATGACTGGTGGAACGTTCGATCGTGTCGCAGCGCCGCGGTGGATGTCACGCTACACACGTGTGGTCGGAGCGCGGCGCGGCGGTGAACTGACTCGCCGGCCGGCGGGCGCACGCGCCTTGCGTGTGGGGGGGCGCAGGCCCGGGGCTGTGTGCTGGGAGGGGGCCGGGGGGTGCTGCGGCCCGCGGGTGGGGCGAGGGTGCGCCGGGTGGAGGAGCCGCTGCACCGGGATGCGACGCAGCTTCCGCCCGCCCTGCTCCCACAGACGAGCCGACTCACGCTTGGCACATCACAGGTAATTATTTCACCGACCGGTGTTAAGTAAACCGATTAATTGTAACTCAGTCGAGCGACTCATAGTCCTATTAAAGAATCCCGTACTTCACAGTAAACAACATCATGTACTACATTACATATAACGTTAAGCTTCATATAACTATACTCGTCACATGTCGCGTGTATATTTACTATAATACGTATCTATACACATTTTGATTGCAAATTCCGATGTCCATTGATTAGTATATAGACTTCTCTTGGTCCTCAGGTCGTTGCAAAAACATAACTCAATTATGACTAAGGAAGACGTTTCTTGTGAAAGAAGGAAAATAAATTTAAAATATATGTACGTTACATTAAAATAATATTATGAATAAATTTCATCATGCCACTAAGTTTATTATTTTCAGAACCATTACAGGTTCCGCCAATCGATCGCTTGTTTTATTAATCCTCGAAAACCTTCAACAGTATTTCGAAGAATTTAACTAGATGGAGTTTCTTAGCAAAAAATACACAAAGCAATCATAAAATGTTTAAATATAAACAACCTTAACCTTATTATAACTTATAATAGATTTACGTATTAATAATAAAAGTTTTAAGTAAATTTTTCACAATCAAACATTTATTAACGCGAAGGTTTTATATATTACCTTAAGTATTACAATACAAGAGTACAATACAAAGCCCTTTAAGTTTCTCATGATTCAGGGGTGCTGGTTGTGGAAATAAACAGTGGGAACAGAAATAATAAGAAACCATTTTAAAAATCACATATCAATAATATTGCCAGCTTATTTATATTAATACGTTAAATTAAGATATTTAAATGAAATCAAAAGTTATAGATTAAAGTATTCTATCTCGTTAAAAGAATACTTACGTTAAAAATGCTTCATTCAACTAATTATGTCATTTGTGACATATTTACATGACATTTCGTGCAACTTCAACAATTGACAACTGTGAAAAATACAAATGTCAACATAAAATTGCAGTAACAGATATTACTGCAGTATAATATATATTTCTTTTAATTTAACAAATATTTTAATTTTCATATACAAATTCTGATAATCGAGATTATTAAAAGAAAAATTTAATTTCTAATCATTAAAAAAAATGCCGGACAGAAAACGAATATAAATGGACGTGTGCCAAATTAACCTAGACTATAGTATATAAGCACGTAATTAATATATAGATAATAATAACAAACGAGTCTTAAAAGTTTAATACAATTAAGTGCTTGCAATTTCATAGAAATAATATCCCATTAAAGTCGACCTTAACATTTATAATGCAGCTGTGTTGCCACATATTAAAATTAAAATCTAAACCTGTATTAATATAATATGGAGGCGTAGCTGAAGTAGCGAGATAAAATTTAACATACAAGATGTGTCCCAGAATAAATACATGCCACCCATTACAGGCAGTTCGAAAAATATATGCTACCTAAACAAGGGTACTGAGTTTTGTTAATACGACAATATTATATAAATGATTTGTATTAAATAAACAATATTTTCATACAAAATTTTACTACATACTCGTATGATTTGCTTAGCCACAATTCAAATATTAAATATATCAAGAAATTTTAATCAATATTCAGATTTTATATATATTTTTTGGCAATAAAGTCTATTAATGAATCTTTAATTAAGGATACAAAAAAATAATAATGTCATCTGAGAATATTAGATTTTAAAGACATATTATATTCCACGTTGATACAGATATTTAATTAATCCATAAAAAGTTACGCCCGAGGAACCATAACACATTGAAATTATTCCATTTGGCACGTATTTTAAAAAACATTTTAGTACAAAATGCCGCGCTTGGAAATATATTTCCGCAACAAGATTTATTATTAAGTATGAAAGTGTACTTCACAGAGAAAAGGGTTGTACGGGCGAGAGAAAAAAACTTCACATTAAAAAAAAACAAGGCCTGAGTCAGATATTAAAATGTAGGAATAATGAAATGTTTAAAACCCTAGGAATAAAACTAAAGTAGAGGTGAACACAGTCGGCGTTATATGTAAAGGATAGGACTTTATTGTGACAAATATTGAACACAAAACGAGTGAGCCACAGAAGGTCGATGTTTGAACGAAATTCAAGCCCAAGGCTAAAAAGTTCTAAGAAATTTTGTTGAACACTGACTGGAAGATACAATTTAAAGTTTTATATTTTAAGTTTTTATGATAGAAAGATAATTTGCATATTTATTTTTAGATAAAAAACACTTAGTTTTATGTAAAACATCACATGGTTGTTTATAGATATTTCTTTTATTATACATCTATATGTTTATTATTTAAACAACACAATAAGTTTTTTAATTATACGACAGAAAAAACAATAACGAAACCGAAGTCTTGTGTTAAAACCAAAGCTTTGGCAGAATGTATATATTTTTAATGAAGGCGGGAACCCGGCAATACTTAAAATTAGGTTCGAAAAAGATATCTACAAGTTACACAAACTAATTGAAATATATTATATCTTTGATTCAGTCTTCATATTGTAATAATATCAGTTTTTAATGAGTTACATTGTCACCTATGATCTGAGAATAAAACTAGACAAGACTACGTTTAAGAAGTGACGAATCTTTTGTGTTCAATGATAATGTAAAGGTAGGCTTTAGTTGTAAACACAATCATGAACGGAAAGGTAGTTGAAATACGTTCAGTTGTTTGAGTTATGGGGTGACCAGGAATAAAGGAATATTAAAAATTAAATATAATATTGCCATATTAATATAAATTATACATATGATTATAAAAAATTGAAAAGAAAATGTATATTACTGTTTGATTGTTATAAAATAAATGGGTTACACAATATAATGTATTACAAAAGTTACATTTGCGATATGAACATGTAGGTGGAATGTGGGTCAGAATGAAAAGCATATAGAAGACAGCATGTACTGTTTAGATACATGCAGTAAACACACAAGTTAAGTATATTAGTCGGTGAGAACTCTCGAAGACACGGTGCCCCTTCAACAGTGAGTACACCAACCATACTTAACAAAACTTAGCAGGTACGGATTTTTTGTCGGCCCCTTAAGAACATCTGCTTATAAAGCGGATAGCAGATGCCAGGCGTACTATTGTGCTCGGGAGATGTTTTTTTATATCGGTCCAGAGACGAGCGGATGTCGTATGGTGAATCAGTCTCAGTATCGCGGAGTTCCGAACTTTCTTGGTCTGTTAATTGCATAGGAAATGATGTTCCGCTCGCATTCATACCACGGATCATGAAAATTAATGCTTAAAAACTATCACAGATTTATACGTCTCTTAAAACTTAAAATAATATATAATAAAAAGATTTTAACCTTTTATTTATTTTATTACATAATTTTTATTTCTTTTAAGGAGTTTTCGACTAATGATTGAATTATTCGAAGCCCATTATTTCGTAAACTTTCTAAAAGTAACGCAATCTTTTAATAGTCGTCGAGACTCGACATTGTTTGGTCTGGGGTACAGGGGGTCTGCTCTCAGGGGATCAAAGGCTTTAATTTCATTTAAAAACCTGGATAGTACATACTTCGTAACCACAGACAAACACACACATTGAATGTAAACAAGCTATGTTATAAAATTATTAATAATGTAGTTTTAATACATAGTTTATATATTTTAACAAAATTATTAAAAATAACTTACTTCCTAAATTAATTTTATGTTTTTTAACTATTATTATCTATTTTAATTAATTATATTAAAAACTTTAATCTTTCTTTAATTGAAAACTGTTATTGAAATTCGAACCCCAAAATATTAATAAAAATAATTGAACACTAAATATACACCATTTGAGTATCAAAACGAGAACTTATTTGTTTTTGATTGTTATTTATAACAACATTAAAAATTCTCTTCATCCGATACAAAATGAGATCAGGAAAAACCGTATTAGTGTGTGGAAATGGAATAAAACTTAAGGCAGAAGTGATCCAGCGTCATCCCCATACATGGTTGAAGTAAGGGTTGTGACAAAGGGGAGCCCTTGAAGTTCAACGAACTTTGAACCAATTCTTGCAAACAATGTTACTCTTAAACCTTCATTAGGGACGTATCATGTTTCATTTGAACCAAACCATTATTTTTTTAAATAATTTGAAATAAGTACAATAACACAAGTTATTTATATTTTATTAATATTCTAAATACATATAATTGTAATTTATGTTTCAACGTATTTAACTTTTTTTTTAACGAAAACAGGACCATATATTTAACCTAAAAACTATATAACAAATAAAGATTTTAAAAGTATTGTACATACTTTAAAAGGTATCTTTGCATTTATATTAAAAACACATTTTCCCTCCAATATTCTTATATATTTTTATATCATTAATATTAATACATATACCTAATGTTAAAAGCCAAACAATAAAAACACCAATCATAAGAATCCCGGCAGCCGGTGGTAGCAAATTGGCGCGAATTTCACCTTTGATTTATTACCGGCTAATATCGAACTTTAGAGGTATTAAGAAAAAATAAAAATTAAATCAAATTCCCACAACATAAATCTCACCCTCGGCACGATAAGATTCGCAAAAATCTAAAGGCATTGACCCTAAGGGCTGGTTTCCGAGACCTTTCTCAGGGCCCGGGGAACATCTGTCGCTCCGCGTACACCGGGCCTTACACTCACCAAGCTTAATAATTTTCTTGACAGTTAGCTCCTGATGATTTGGCTCAGGGGACCGCTTGAGAACTATATGAGGTCTATTTTAAAATATTATAATACAACAATGTACGACGCGTCGCCTCGTCTGTCTCGACCGTTTGTTGACGGGGCCGTGTTTTTGGAATAATACCTATTAGTTAGACTTGTATACATAATATGTACGAGAATTTTGTAAATAGATATATTGTTTTCGTTCTGTATATTTAAGTGTATCTTAAAGCAAAGCTCGAATACTTTTAAATGCTATTTTTGACTCTGTTTGTTTAAAAACAATTCGTGTAAATTCCTTCATAGATTATTCCCGCCGTTTATTAATATTACACATATGACTAAATATAAAGAATCTTCATAATGTCCAAGACGATTTAGTTGCAAGTATATTGAGAAGGGTTAAAGTCTTTTATCTTAATGAACAAAGGACATGACAGGTTCAGGTAATTGGTAAAATGAGAATAATCTTACAAAAAGAAAATTGGCACCTGTAAAGTATACATTGGTTATACGATAAGATAGCAGTTTATGGACGAGATAATAAAACAATTAACTTAAGTGTTAATCCGGAGATCCGAGATTTCGTTCAAAGGAAACTAACACCATGAATAAAAATAATAACAATAATAATATAAGATTATTGAAATTATTGTATAGTAAAAATATCATATTAGAGAAAAATATTAGACAAAGATGGCTTGAGGACGCGTTACATGCAACTTTCTTTATAGAAGCTTACAAAACATTATGTGTTATGTGACGTATAAAGTTTTTAAACTACTGTCGTTTAGAAACAGAATTTGGACTATGTACAAGATCAATGTATGCCCATGACAAAATATTTTTTGCAATTCATTAAAATATAGTAAAACTCCAGTAAGGCTATGCCATGAAATTGTTGTAGGTAATATTTTTATTTTGACACATATTTTTTAAAGTAATATCAAAACTTATGTCAAATCTGTCAAATGCAAAAAGAATATTTAAGTTCTATAAGTTTTAGTCCACAAGTAAAAGTAAACAATTGTATTGAGAACCACAATTTTTCAAGTCGATTAAAAAACAAACTGCCAACACTGGTTAACTAGTAACTGCCAACGTTTTTAAAACCCGACCGGCAATATGTAGCAAGTACGGACATGTTGGGAGTCTTTTGACATTCGATTTTTTTTTAATAATAATAGAACAAGATCCTCTTTCATTGTAATATCGTATTGCGTTGTAAAACTTTTCATCTTTCTTCAAAACATCTACCTGGATATTAAGAGTACTTTGTGCGTATTGTTCATTGAGTACAGAGATAAAATTTCTTGGAAATAATAGAATCTGTTGTATTTTAATCACAACTTACCTGAGTTTTATTTAAGCTGTTTGAATCTTTCCATTCACTGAAGCGTAAGAAAGAATTTTAAGAAAAAATTATATATATAAAAGATATTTTGTTTTTATGTTGCTGTCGTCGGTTTGTCTGTGAAGATGCGAATTAACAATAGTGTTTGTTTAATATACATATATAATTCTTAAAACATAACTAAGAAGTAAAATATACCCAGATAAAAGAATCCTGTATCGTTAAAATGATTCTTTTATTAAAGTAATATCTCATATATTTACATTGGGTAAATATTTCATTATTAAATTCCTAATAAAAATATATAATATAGATATATCGATGGTATCTTGTTTGTCAAGTGAGATTAAGAGGAAAATTCAGTGAACCGATAAATATATATGTTTATTACCTGTTAGGAATGTATCGGTTTGTTTCATTTATAATTAAAACGTTGGGAATTGTGTTTGAAATAGAGTATTATAATTTTGGTTGTAATTTTCTAAATTTAAATCAATATAAATATCGAATCATTTAGATATGTGGATTTGTCTTTATTGTCAAAATAGGAAAACACTATTACGCGATTTATTTGTTGAGTTTGAGAAATGGCTAGACTTTAATTTTGGAATTCTCCAAAACACGCGTGAACTTCTTGCTATAATATTCCTTTATTTAATAATAGATGGCGCTCTATTTAAATTACGCTATAAATGTTTCATTCATTATAACTATATAAGCAATTGTATTTCTAAAAAACTTAGGAAATAACTCTCCAATAAAAATTATAAATTGTTATAGTAATTTAAAGGCTTGGAAATTTTTATGAAATATTAATGGAAAGTCCAAAATTATGGCTGGGAGTATATTTTCAAGAACTGTCTCACTAAAGAACTAATTTAACCATTTATATTAAATTATTATTGCTAAATTGCAAATTAATATTTTACCGACTGTTAAAAAAAGGAAAAAGTCTAAGATTCATTAAATATTTTGGTGCTAAAGAGGCCTTCTAACGCCATCTAGCTGAGACGTCGTTTATTGTAGAGTTTCTTTTAATTTTGGACAAACATTAAAAAAATATCCCAGAAGTTATCGATAATGATAAGAATAATTAGAAATTATTATCTTTTTAAGATACATAAAATAAATATTTGATAAATAATCATCGTCCGTTCTAATCGTTCACATTTATTATTTTCGAACGAATGTATCTAACCCACCATTTAAAAAAAAAAACGTCATTCTCTGTCAAAATGGCACGTCAGCAACAAGATGTAGATGAATTGTTCGATGTTAAAAATGCATTTTACGTTGGGAATTATCAACAAGCGATAAACGAGGCCCAAAATGTTAAGGTTAGTGTATAACGGATCTTACAATCAATATTAATTCTGCAACTAAAGAGAAATATAAATCACGTTCCGGTGAAGATACATGACGTGCTTGACATTTGTTTTGATCATATTAGATTTTTTTAAACATGTTTTTTGGTTTTAATATACTCAGCTAAGGAAAAAAAGACTAATTTATAGGACACTACAGTTATATAAACTATATTTTTTTCTTCCAGCCCTCATCACCCCAAGTGGCCCTCCAAAGAGACATATTCCTCTACAGATCGTACATAGCTCAGAACAACTTCAGAATTGTTCTACAAGAATTGAAAAATGCTGATCCGATGCTTCAGCCGCTGCAAACGTTGGTTGAATATCTGTCCCCTGATTCCAATAAACCTAATATTGTTGCTGACATTGATGCAAGGGTCTGTAATAACTTATATTAATATCTTAACTATATATATTTATAAGGAAACGCCTTTAAAGGAATCGGTTATTTACTAAAGGGACTAAGTCAGGCATACCTAATTTTACAGGAAGGACAAAAATATGTTTATATAAAAAAACCTTAGTTAAGTATATTATTTTTTTATCTAGACAGTTAGTTTGAACCTATATGAATATACTAATGTAGAGACTTTCTCTGTATACAGTAGGACCCCGATTATCCGGACCTCGGTTATCCGAATTCGCGATTATCCGGACTGCCAATCGCGACGAGTTTATTCTAACATTTTGCCGCGACTTCGTCCGCGTGGAATAGTGTCTTCCGGCAGATTTTTGGTTCTCCCCACATAGTTCCCGTTCTTACGGGGTTTTCAGAATTGTCGAGTTCCCATAGAATTTTCAGGATAAAACCTATGTTTTTTTTAATTCACAATGAAGTACTCTTAACCAACAACATATTTATTTGTTTATTTGAATAAAGATTAATATTATTATGTTGATACAACTTAAACAAATTATTTCGACCAAATTAGGTACCATAAAAACGGTTTTTGTGAGTTAATCTTAAAAGATAGACATATATTGTTGTGGACTGTTTTTCAGATCATTAAAAGAGCTATTATTCTTTAACGCATATTTTTTGTGTATCTTGAACCGTTTTCACGGCGCACGCACCGGAAGGCTTCAAAGATGAAATAATTTCTCCCGTTTTTTACACATTTACGACTATATCTTTGCTCCTATTATAGCCTCCTATAGCCCACAGCCTTCCTCGATAACTGGACTATCCAACACAAAAAGAATTATTCAATTCGAACCAGTAGTTTCGGAGATTAGCGCTTTCAAACAAACAAACTCTTCAGCTTTATAATATTAGTATAGATTAACATGTCAGAACTTGCATAACGCCACGCCATATAATTATTGTAAGCAAATTATACGTACATTATGTACAATTTCTTAATAAACGTTGATTTTTGCTCATATGTATTTGTTGTTTTAAATGAACACCTAACATTACATATGTATGGTACAGACTATGTATGTACATATGCAAAAAGCCCGTTCTTCTTCATATATTGGATTATCCGGACTTTCTACTATCTGGGTGCCTACCGACAACAATTAGTGTGGATAATCAAGGTCCTACTGTATCTGTATTGTAAATAATTATGCTTATATAAAAATGTTTGACTTATTCCTTCCTAAATGCAATTTTGAGGGAAAAAATAAACAAATAAGTGTTGAAAAATAAGTTTTTATTAACATTTAGGCCAATTTTCTTATATACATATTTTAATAACAGGCTTTATGTTCAGCTGAAATGTATTGCATGGTGCGCTTGAGATCTTATATTTTATTAATTTTTAGGGGCACAGGCCCATCATGAGCATTTTGTTTTGGAAGTGTAACTGTATGAGTTTTATTCTTTCTAAAATCAAATGTGTTAGTTCTCAGTACATTCCCAATAAAAGGCCTGGTAACTACCAGGCCTTTGTTTTAGGAGTACTCAAACTCCATGAAGTGAGACAAAAAATGTTGCTTGTCAGACCGTGGAATACTTCTTGATTGACTCTCCAAAGAGATAGCATCTCTTTTATAAAATTTGGCCCACCAGTTTTTAAAGTCTATAATGTCAGTAATGTCAACCATAGATACTGTGAATTTTTTGTGGTCATTGCATTTGAATTCACACACCTCCTCAGTCAAATAATACATATCTCTTTGTTTTAAAACTTTTTTCACAGTACCAAATGACTGATCATTATGCAGAAATGAGTGTCCTCGCACTGGGAAGTGGTGTACAATTTTATTGAACAGCCCTGTGTCTACCAGAGCCTGGCATACACTTATCATTATGTGATTACGGTTTTGCCAATAAAGTAACGAAAAGGAATAAGTCATTGACTTATTCTTTTTTATAAATGAACGAAAAAAGTAGTCCCTACATTTAATTAGTAAATGAACTGACTTATTTCTTTTCTTGATTAAAATTCAAGATCTACCTACAACGAATCGAAGTGCATCAAAATTGCCATATCCAAAAAATGATGACTTATTCCCTTTGGTAAATAAGTGATACAAATATAGTGTCATACGGAATTTAGCATTATCAGCTTGAAATCATAGCAATTTTGTTTTACATGTTATTAAAGTAACATTTCTATGTTCAGGTCCAAAAAGGAGTGGAACTAACAAATGAAGTGTTTCTCATAGTTGCTGCAACAATTTACTATCATGAGGATAATTATGAGGCTGCCCTTAAGTGAGTACTTAAACTGTATTATAAATATATTGTAGAACTAAGTTGTATATAGAACAGACATACATTACAAAAAAAAATCAATGAGACTTCTTTAATTCCTACTTCTATTAGTACTTCTATGAATTTCATCTGACATGTTATTTGTGTGGCGACAACTATAGTATGATGGTGCCTGTAATATTTTTATTTTGTTAATTGCTTGAATGTCCAATGTGTTTTATATTGGAAATAACAATAATATTTGACCATAAATTTATAATCTTTGTTCATCCAATTTTCTAATTTCCTTAAATAGGTGTACAAATTTATGGTAAAGGATATTTTTGTGAATAAATGTGTGTTTAGGAAATTATCATTATATTTATATAAAAAAAAAATTATAATTTTATAGAATATTGCATGAGGCGGAGTCGTTAGAGCTACGTGCATTCAGTCTTCAGTGTCTGTTGGCTATGAATCGACCCGACCTGGCTCGGAAACAACTCAAGAAGTTACAAGACATAGAAGACGACAGTACACTCACACAGCTCGCTCAAGCCTGGTTGAATTTGTCCGAGGTATAAATATGAGATAGAAATTAATTTAACTTAATGTATCAGATTCCTTATACTATAATGCTAGCCATTGGTGTTTTTATTATTTCTACTATTCAATTCCAAGTTAAGATTTTTAACAGTTTTACTTCATAAATGTACTATAAATATCAATGAAACTTAAATTTGTTTAGGAATTAAATACTAAATACATTGAAAGTGTCTATAAATATAAAATCTCAAAGAACAAAATATAACAGTTTACAGCTGTATTTCTGACAATTTTTAATGATAATCAGTATTCATTGGGTAAGTGGTGACCTACCTAATCAATAAATGTGTAATGTTAGGTGTAGCATGACACATTTATGATAACACTGTCAAAGCCACAAAATTGTATGCTGTATGTATTACAAAGTTTTATCATTGAAGATATATTGAAGTTGTTTATTTGATGTCTGTCATTTCAATATGATTGTGATTCATGAATGTATGTATGTACAGGGTGGTCCAGGTGTACAGGATGCTCACTTCAGTATAATGGAATTGTCGGAGCGTCTCGGGGCGTTGGGGGCCGGGCCGGCAGCCGCAGGAGCCGCCGCTGCCGCCTCTAGAGGTATGTCATATCAATTCTCATTTGGAAATTAGGGAAAAGATAGCGACTTATGTGATATTTGACTCCCATCTGGTTAAATACCACTTAAATTCCTCCTAAATCTATTGAATGTTAATTATTATAATATAAAACAGATATTTTATGGTATTCCCAAAAAATATATAAGTTCATAGTATATTAAGTAAACCAAAATAAATTATTGTTTTATAAGTTTGAAAATTTTCTTACATATTTAAAATTTAAGATAAACTACAGTGTAGTCGACTGCATGAGAATTAAAACTAATATGTTATGTCCCATATATAGAAATCTGTATTATTTTATCCAGGTATGTGGGACGAGGCGGAGCAGATGTTGACAGAGGCTCAGTCACGCCTTCCACAGCAGCCCGAGTTGTTATTAGGTCTGGGGGTCGCCGCTGCTCACGTGGGAAAACCTCCCGAGGTTAGTGACTAGTATTCATATAGATTAATTTTCATATCTATCCTATAGATCATGAATTCATTGTTAAGGAGTAGAATTTTAATTAACTACATCTAGTGGTCATTAGAATAAACTAAAAAGATTACAGTTTCTTCCGCCAGAGGCGCCACTAACCATACATTTGATGGTTTTATTTTTTATAACAGCGCCATCTATATCCAGTATCGTGAACTATTGAAGCAGCATACATATTTAGTTATCGTCAGTTGTTGAATATTAAGTTATATAAAGATGTTAATGTTTATCAGGTATCAGCTCGATACTTCGCGCAGATCCTGGACTCTCATCCCGACCATCCGTTCTCTAAGGAGTACAACGCTAAGACGAACGAGTTCAAACGACTGGCGGCGCAGTACCAACCCTCTGTTACAAGCTAAATTGAACTATATGCAGATGTTATAAAAACTATTATTGTATGATTCAATATAATCTAGAAATTATAACCTTTCGTTTTCATTACATTATTTGGTATTAATACAGGGTGTATGAAAAACTGTGTCAACCCTTGAAGGCATGTATACATATAAGTATAAGCTTATTATAAAAAATAGTATAACTTAAAAAATATCAAGCAGAGGTCAGTTACAGTGCATAGGCTAAATAAGTTTTAAATCGACATTATTCGAAAAAATGTTCCAAACATCTGACTCATACAAGGTCAAGACACCGTATAGTCGCAACGGCGCATGCGTGACCATTGACCGCAGGCGCCGGGCCGCCGGCGTTATTATTACTATTCTGTTAGTTGTTCGAATAGAGATTTGAAAGTGTAAAAATTAGTTATATCGATAAATATTCTATCGACATTTTCAATATTGCTATAAATTGTTATTCTTTTCACATTAAAATAATATCATTTAAAATAACTTTTATTAATAATAAATATTATAATTTGAAACTTGTTCAGGTAAATTAACTACATATGTTGTATTATTAGGATAAATCGTTAATCTTCTTCTGTTAAAAATGGTGTTTTACAATCAAAAATAATATTGATGTTTGATATATTAAAATAAGTATCGAAATAATATGAATATTAAATATTTATTTATTGTTATGATTTTTTAAATATCGATATTTTCAATAATGTGAAAGTAACTTCGAGTTCGTCACTAGTAGCGCAGCAGCTGTGATGACGTCATTGCGTGTCATCGTGTTATACCAGGGCTTACAAACATTTTGTTACTCTACATATAATAATCATTTAATATTTAATTTTATTATTTTTATTGAAGAGTTTGTAAATGTAAGTTGTTTTATTGTGTTCCATTTTCGATACTGATAACGTAGTTAAGAGGGTTGACACAGTTTTTCATACACCTTGTATAATGATAAAAATATAGCATGTTCTGAAATCCAATTATTATTTCATCTCTGGCTGATTTATATCACTTGACTTGTTGAATAATTATTAATAACTAGCTTTTGCCGCGACTTCGTCCGCGTGGTATAGTGACTTCCGGCAGATTTTTGGTTCTTCCCACATAGTTCCCGTTCTTGCGGGGTTTTTGGAATGGTCGAGTTCCCGTAGAATTTTCAGGATAGGTAAAACCTATGTTTTTTTTTATTCACAATGAAGTACTCTTAACCAACAACATATTTATTTGTTTATTTGATTTAAGATTAATATTATTATGTTGATATTGAACTGAAATAAATTATTTCGACCAAATTAGGTACCATAAAAACGGTTTTTGTGAGTTAATCTTAAAAGATAGACATATACTGTCGCGGATTTCGCGTTTTTTAGATCATTAAAAGAGCTATTACTCTTTAATACATATTTTTTGTGTATCTTCAACCGTTTTCACGGCGCACGCAATGGAAGGCTTCAAAGATGAAATAATTTCTCCCGTTTTTTACACATTTACCACTATATCTTTGCTCCTATTGGTAGTAGCGTGATTTTATATAGCCTGAAGCTTTCCTCGATAACTGGACTATCCAACACAAAAAGAATTATTCAATACGAACCAGTAGTTTCAGAGATTAGTGCTTTCAAACAAACAAACAAACAAACTCTTCAGCTTTATAATATTAGTATAGATTATTCCTACATAAAAAATATTATATTTCCTTACTACTACATAATATAACCGAAACCTGGCAAGTAACAATGTGAACTTTCAAGTCATATCTACTTTCTAAGAGTATTTAGACACCACTGACATACGGTGAAGGAAAAACTTCAAATTATCAGTTTGAAATCACCAACCCGTTTGGAGCAAGCGTTGTGATTAATGCTCAAACCTTCTTCATATGAGACGAGGCTTTTGCTCAGCAGTGTTCTCTGATAGGCTGATGATGGTGATTTATATTCAATGATGATTTATATTTATATTCAGCGTTAACAGTTTTTATTCAATAAATCTTAGTAAGATATTGAATGACAAAGGAGATGCTGCGTATGTAGCATCGATTTGAACTAGTACTAAGCTTACCGAGGCTTACGTCGGTACTTATAAGTGCATCAGTTATAAGATTAATTTATCTCTTATTAATTTATCCTGGCAACTTCCCAGCTTAAGCCAGAGTCTGTGTTACAGTTGTAAATAATTTGGTTAATTTTTTTTACGACCTGCCTTACATCAACCCTCTGGGAATGCAATTAAAGGGTGTGCGGGTATGAAATAAAAGTCAACTCTGTATATATCATGTACTCCTAGTAGAAGCTGTAGTCATAATCTCCGTCGGGCTCGTCGTCTTCATCAGTGCCGGTGGACAGCGCCAGGAGTCTGATCTGCCTCAGCTTCTCATCCATGTCCGCGAGGTCCAGTGACTCCGTGCTCGTGTGATGGACATTATCCTCATTATGGACATTGTCCTTGGTCGTGCCTGAGTCGGACTTGTAATCGGGACCTCGTGTTAAAAGAAATATAAAATTGATTATTTTGATAGGAACTTGAAGTATTAATTATCAAAAATGTTGCATTTTGCATGATGTGATAGCCTATAATTAAAAGAACTTTTAAGTTATTATTGATAGTTTGTTAATGTAATGAATGTATTAATGTTCTCTTTTTGTTGGCTATCCAAATAAAAATAAAAAAAAGGTTTTATTCAGCCCTGCTTTGATAGTAGCGTTTTAGACCTATTATTGTTGTGCAACTTCTAATGCGATTGCAACAAGGTTGCTTTAAACGTTTAACACTCCTGAAGGGGGGGGGGAGATAAAAATAGACTGAAAAGGAATGCGTAGCGCTCGAAGGCATGAAGATAATCAATTGTGACTTGTAAGTAGTGTTAATAAGTTCGTTTTACAGAAACACAAAAAATTCCTTTAAAATCAATTTGTACTCCTTCCTATTTTCGTTCCAACAAAACAAAGTTATACTTAACTCCACAAACAATTATTTTTTTTGTTGGAAACATTCTCACCTCGTGACGTCACCTCTCCAGCCTCTATGACAGGAGGCGAGGTGTAAGCTTCTAGTTCTTCTTCAGTTTTATTTTCCTTCTCCAAGTTTTCTTGTTTCCGTTGTCGACGCCATGCCTTCTGAAGGTTGAAGCGCTCGGGTCTGACAGAAGAAATGATTTTGAACAAATTTACATTACATAACATAAAATCATATATCTAATAAAAAATACAAATAAATAGAAATATAAGTTCTCATCTAAATCTAAATATGGAATGTTTTACTAATATCAATCAAGTAATTGCAAAAGGAATGAATATATAAATCACCGTTCCCCATCTTTATAGACCCTTTCTTCAAGATTATGTATGTCGTGTCTTATGTCTGCTAGTAAAAGCAGCATCAGGTCCAAAGATCCCTTAGGCCCCCGCGCTCCTCGGGGCCCACGTTGTCCCGGGTCGCCTTTCGGGCCTTCCATTCCCGGAGGGCCGGCAGGACCCTATAAGAAGGTCAACTTTACATAATGAAAGTTTGTGTTGAACTTCTAACTTTCACCTTCGTCACTTACCCGAGGACCTCTCTCACAGCGACAGTATCCGCCTTCTAAGGGAGCTGTGGAATCCAATACACGATAAGCGAAACTCCTGTCTGAAAAATGTTTACCAAATGTTTAATCACTTAATTAACTTTTGAAATGTATCATTTCAAAAAAACACTGTTGGTAATATATAAATTTTTAATGATACTTTAATAATATCGCCATAAATTTGCTTTTTCAGTATATCGCATGATACATTACAGCCGATCAGGTCGTAGGTAAATAATGAGAGGTGCTCTGTAGAACTGGGCTTGGCTCGTACCTACCGACCATATACCTAGGATTTATAATTTGATATTCGTTTTTCCACAGGATTTATATTTTGATAAATAATTTAATTCAATATTTTCCTCATTATTTAATTCACTTCTTTTATATGAATTATTGTACTTATGTTATTATTCTCTATTATAGTAAAGCTCGACATCTTTTCTATCAATGACTTTTCTTTATCAGTCACGTTTATTAAATTAAAGTTAATATTGAACCCGCGATTACGGTTATTGTAAAAATATTGAATTCAATATATATTATCACTCTATAAATGCACTCCCCAATATCTAGGTAATCCAAAGAATAATTATTTAGTAAATATTCTTCATCACACCTTCTGTGAGCACGGGGTTCTCTAATAACTTCTTCAAGGCGGCCTGCGTGGTGTGGAGCTGGTCGTTGAGCTGCTTCACCTTCCGTGACAACCACGATACAGTGTCACACGGGGCGTAGCACCGAGATGATGTTCGAACGAGGGGCAGAGGCTCCTGTGAGAAGAAAAACTCTTTATTGCTATTTGTCTATAAAAAACACACTATAAGAATATTCTGCGATGACGTAAGCCATAGAAACATTATGTAAGACACGAATGAAAAATGTTATAAAGTATTTTTGGGTGATACACTTCAATACTTACCGGCATCCCAACAGCCACAGACGGCACACACTTCCTTCCATCGATGCCGACACTATAAGGCGCGTTACACTCACAGTGAAAACCCCCGGGGTCGTTCACACAACGATGCTCACAGCCGCCGTTGTTGATGGTGCATTCATCTATGTCTGAAACACGAATGTTACATCTAGTAAGACTACAAGCAATAGAAAGACTTAGGAATTGCAATGCACACTTTCTACCTTCGAAATTATTGGCAAAATTTACAAAACTTCTCACACAAACTAAGCTTTGAAAAGATAAAGTCTTTGGTCATCGTTACCCACCTACACAGTAAGGCTGCCTCTTCCGATTGTAACTATCAGCGTCGAACCTGTACCCGGGGTGACAGGAACACCACACACGCTGCTCCTGAACCTCACACGCCTGCTCACATAGGTGGAGACTACACGCGTCCACTGAGTTACGGATACAGCTATAAAGAAACGATATTTAATACAATTACAATTCAAATATCTGATGGACCAACTTTTAAACAAAAAATGTGTTTCTTGGATTATAACCTAATAAAACACAATGAAATACTTGATAAAATTTACTTATGTAATATTGGGTTCTTTCAATGTCTCAGTCCTCAGCTTACCTTTATTAAATTATACGATCTGATTCACTCAGTGGCATGCACACCATAGTTGCAAATAAGCACTGCTTTCTGCCACACATACAACAACTAAACACACATTGTTTAATAGCCCAGTGCAGAAGCCTCTAAAATTAATGAAAAGTGAAAATAAATTATAGTAGAATGAAACTTATTAGAAAAGGAAAGGAATATTATAAAAATTAAAGGAAAAATAATTTACGGGCGATCTGAGGTCGGGAAGGGTATGGGAATGGGTATTTAAGGGTAAAAAATGGTTTTTCTCGATTTCCGACAAAACTAAAAGTCCTACGGAAAGAAGTTATATGGCAAAGTTGTAGGTAATAAAAAGATCTAAAACTTTTGTATTAACATTTTTTTCACATAACCTCAAAATTTATGTGAAAAAATCTAAAAATCAAGTTTTTGATTTTTTATTTTTCTCTCTTACAAAAAACAATATTTTGTCACGAAATTTAATGAAAACTTACATTTTGATGTCCCAAACACACTGTAATGTATTTGATTAGAAATATAAATTTTTATGCTTATTTTGAATAAATACCGAAAAATCAGCCTCATTTTCGATCGAAAAATCACCCGTCAAAATATCAGCTCTTCAAAAATTTGGTATCTATTCTATTTGTTGAAATCTCTATTTTCTGATGGTGAAGAAAAAAATATAAATTTCTTACTGACAGTACCATTTTTGGATAAAATAATCATGTCTCTTTTAATGAAATGACACTCGACATCGTTTTGAAAATTCTCTTTCTAATTTATTTTTAATAGTTGTGTACTCTGGAAGATCTCCAGGTAGTGCCTCTTTTAGGTAATTTACAGATTTTTTCATTTAGCTGCTAAAACTGATATGATATGATATTTTGACGGGTGATTTTTCGATTGAAAATGAGGCTGATTTTTTGATATTTATTCAAAATTAACAGAAAAAATAAATAATTCTAATCACATAAATTACAGTGTATTTGGGACATCAAAAGGTAAGTTTTCACCAAATTTCGTGACAAAATATTGTTCTTTGTAAGAGATAAAAATAAAAAATCGAAAGCTTGGTTTTTCGAATTTTTCTCATAAAATTTAAGGTTATGTGAAAAAAATGTTGGTACAAAAGTTTTAGATCTTTTTATTACCTACAACTTTGCCATATAACTTTTTTCCGTAGGACTTTTAGTTTTGTCGGAAATCGAAAAAACCCATTTTTTACCCTTAAATACCCACCCCCATACTCTTCTCGACCTCAGATCGCCCGAACATAATTTTTCCTTTAATTTTTATAATATTCCCCTCCTTTTCGAATAAGTCACATTCTACTATAATTTAATTATGTTTTAAAAGCTATCGGCACTGGTCTATAATTCTTACTCACATTATTTAATTCTTTTAATTGTACATTACATAAGCATTACGAATGTTTACAGACATTAATATGTATGTCATTTGATTCACGATTTGGTAAAATTGGTAAAAGAGCCATCTATCAACTTAACAACTAATATTGTCGGTCGTCCGCTGCTAGCGACTAGCGCCGCTTCCTGGCCAAAGTGGCCATAAGCAAAACTACTCGGTGCATATACATATTCCACACAAATCTCATGTTGTATGCAGAAAAGTAGTGTGAGTGCAAAAACTATGCATGTGTTAATGTTCGAGAAGCACTGGTTCCTTAACACTACTCATTTAAAACGTCGTAGAAAATAAGTTGATTATCAAATTATTTTTTATAAGGGACTTTTTAATTTGTCAATAAACCGTTCAAATCTTTTATTCTTTTTACCGTTAAAATATTTTATTTTGTTATTATTGTCTTTCAAATAAATTAATATATTAAGCTGAGGTCTGTGGTTGTATGTGTTTATGGGAATAATACCGTGTAAGTACATTTTCAATGTAATCGTTTGATAATAACTTTAAAATAATTACGAAGGGAAGGTGTGTGCGACCATTTTAGATTTTACTAAAAAGGTAATGTTACTCGTTTTAATAAAAAAATATAATGTTTGTTTGTTATAATTTGCTAGCAGGTTGTGTATAGGTACACAAATATGTTGTTTTTTATTTATTTGATGTTTGAATCTCCACTGGATAACTAAATGGAAACTAATAACTTTCATGGCTCAGAGATAGTTGATAGATTTATAAAAAAAAAATAGATTTTGTTCTTCATCGGACTGCTATAACAATTTTAAGCGTGAATATTATCAATGTCTTAGAGGAGTAAATTATGATGGAAATTTGTATTCCTTTCAAACATATTCTGCTTATCCTACCCAAAATCATTTGCACGCCCTGTATAATGTAATGAAACACAATACAATATAAAATTATACCTACTTCTTTAATGTTCTGTTTTTATAATGTGTCAGTCTTCAGCTTACCTTTATCAATACAATCTGTTTCACTCACCGTCCAGCGATGTAACTGTAGTCATCACAGCAGTGTAGTGTAATACACTGGACATCAACACCTTCCACGTGACAAGTCTCTCTCGTACGAAGAAGTCTATCCGTAGGACAAGCTGAGACTAGGTCCACCCTGAGAAATACAATTTGAACACTAATAATATTGTTATTGGTAAGGAAATAATATAAAACTTGGATTTATGTCGTCCATAGGGACATTTGAGTACTATATTAAGAAGTCTCAATAATACATCGCTTTTTTATCCTTCCTCTTTTCAATTGTGAAACTAATAGAATAATATTATTATTGCTGAAATTATGTGTGTATGCCATAAACATCAAAAAATGGTTTGTGTTTACATGTTTAGGGTACTATCAAATTTCAAAATTTTGCCATAAAACATTTACTAAAATAAGTGGTTTGACTTATATTCATCTATTTCCTACTAGTAAGTAGTAATTATTAGGAATAATTTAATAATCAGTAGAAAAGAAAAGTAAAGAAAGTATGGGCCTATCGGTTCAAGTTTAATATAAATACATGGAATCCATTTTAGCCTTCGCTGACGATCTCGCAATACTGACACGTCACCCCAAACACTGTCAAGTACTATTGGATGAAGTGGATAAATTCTGTGAGTGGACGGATGGATTGAGGACAAAACCCTGTAAATGACACTATACAAGATATACCTCTACGTTCCAGGATTATCATTATGCGTTTTTATGATTATAAAAATGTACCATTTAAATTTCTTGGTCTTAAAATAGATAATATAGGTCGTACTCTATCCTTAGAAGAAATATTAGATGGTTTTTTAAACGACCTCAACCAGGTAGACAACCAAACGATCAATAACATACAAAAAGATTAAATCTCCGAAAATTACCTAACATCACGTTTGAATTAACTGTTACTCGTCTGATTTTAATAAAATCCTACTGTTAAAGTTAGATAGCAAGTGTCACAAAGGTGTTGAAGTTTTAGAGACTTTGGGCTAGAGCTATCGTCTAATACGTCAGCGTTACTCAGGGACTGCAATAGTTTTAGGATAAATCTAGAGAGGCCATTCCAAGTTATATAGGTATCCTAGGGAAATACCAAAATGACGTTGTAACATAAAGAATAAAATGCTAGAGCAGATAAAGATGCTACAGGTGTCTTGAGCATTTATATTCACTTCGCGAATTTTAAAGAGTGTTGTGTTAATAACTGCGTTGTGGAAACCAACATCCCTAATGACCATACCATTAAGGCCAATAGGTAATACGATCTCAATAACCAACTCACACCCAATAGGTTGGTCGTAGATTTGTGCGCGGTAGAATTAGAAGTGAGAGGTATAACAGGTAAATCTCTCTACAACATACTAAAAGACTTGGGCCCGACCAGAACTAACATCAGTTCATTCTTGGAATGGACTTCGAAGGCGGCTTTGTTTCAAATTTTGGTTAGGTACAGAGAGGAGCTTGACGGTGGAGGTGAGGGATCCTTGGTTTCCTTTATTTGACGAAACCTCTCAGCATTCCATGGATTCACCGTGCGGGTGCCGGGTCTATCGCGTTTATCATCTTTAACCTGCCGTATGCAATTGCATTTAATTAAGTTACATTTTTTAAAGAATGAACTAGAATAAATCAAGTATAGACAAAAAACAAAACATCGAAATCATGTATTAAAATTGTATTGTACATGTATGATATGATCTCATCGAATTATAATAATAAAATAATTATCTCGAATACAACTTTTTCAGTCTCTGAACAGTCTGACGGCTGATGTTATGAAACATTGTCCTTATATCTAATCAGTAATTAATTTACTCTTGCTACTCGGAAACAACGTCACAACTGATATCTTTTTACAATTTACACATTGTTTGCATTAGCCAGGAATGTACACTTAGGAAATGTCCGCTTATGAAACATAAACAAAAACTAAAATTATCAAAATGTTATAATATAAATAATATTTATCATTCAATTAATATAACTGTCACGCCATTAATCTGTTTATAAGAAAGCCGTAATATTATGAACGTCTGCCAAACAGGAAATAAAGTGACATGTCACCCGATTAGAACATGACAAGTTGTCAAGCGTCATTCTTATTTCAACATTCATATTTTAATATCATCTCTTCATATTTTTTCATTTATATATAAAAAAGTTTTTCATTTAATTTAAAAAAGAAATGAGATATTTGTTTAAATATATGAACGGTCTGAATGATAAAATATTCCTGTAAACTTTTTCCTCAACCTTATAATAACAACGTTCGAAAATTGAAATATATTCCTTATTTATTATCAGTAACCATTATTGGAAGAAAAAGTACAATGCTAATATTTGTATAATATGTATATTAAAATAAATATCACTTAAAAACTTCATGCTTTAATAATGCAGATAGCAAAAAAAAACAACAGTATATAGTATGAACGCACTTCACAAACAACTCTTGTTCGAAATTTGAAAAATGCAACGAGTTCAATGCTCTTTGGATGTTGTAAGATGCAATTGTATTACGGCTATGTGGGCCCTTCGATATTAATAGTGTACTACTTCGATCGTATTAATTGGGTAATAGGATTACCGATGTTATATTAATAGAGTAAGAGTCATTTTTGAATGCATTTTTTAGTCTTGGATAAAAGCGGTTATAGTGTACATTGTACTTAATGAATGAACTATTTTAATTATATCGCGTATAGAGTTACTGGAATTACGATGTCTACAGCTGCTCTAATTGAAATTATTAATAAAAGTGATTTATTTAAGACTTTTTATATACACATGTATTTAAAAACTTATTGTTATTATTTAGTTCATTGCACATTTTGATAAAAACGAATTGAAACATATTTCTAAACTTATATGAATATATTTTTTTTTTGTATAAGCTCGATGAAATTATTACATATTATGTATTAGGTAACACATTTCGTCTGGATATTTAATTCCATATCGAATCCTGGCGATTAAATTACAAAATAAAAACTATAAATACATGACACGAACATCCGTTTCCGCGCGTGTTTCACACATAGGTAGGTTAATGACAATGGTACATGTACTCACACGTCCAGGGCGTCGTCATGGTAACCGTCCTCGGCGTAGTATCCTTCATGTAGTCGGCCGAGTACCAGGAGCGCATGTGTCAGGAGGAGGGTGGCCGGTGCGAGCGGCGCGCGCATTGTGACTGCGGCCGACATGCGTTACCCAGAGTTACCCAAACTGTACACTATCATTAATATAATAATATATAAATAATATATATTACACATCAGTGTGTGGGCTTATCAAATATTCCTTTCTGATAACACAAGCGGTCCTTCGCGAATTGCATGCTGCATTATTGTTGTTAACTGTATGTGATTTATTTTTTTTCCGCCTTTTTTGTTGTTGACAGCCAGTACTGAGAATCTATATCAGATAGCAACATATTATGCTTGTATAAACATCTATTTCATATTAAGTGTGTTGAGTGCGTGTCCATTATATTATTTGTGTCTTGGAAATTCGAATATTATGGCTGGGAAGAAAATTAACTAACAAGATGAGGTTGTTAATGAAAATAAATCATTTATTAAATTGAAGGGCTCACGGACAAGATTTACAGAGCTTTATAAAAAGAAACAAAAGTTTCTTTACACGAGATTACAAAGAAATATTTGTATTAAACAATATTTTCTTTACCGCTATTCCCACTTAATTTGAACACTATTTATAAAAATAAAAAAAAATATCCGTTTTTGTGTTTCCTCTTATCAATGAAATTGCTAAATATTTCTTTAATAACATCAACCTTCTTTGTTATATAGTAATAATTTTTATATATATTTATTATTGAAGTTCTTCCTTCAGTCAAAGTCCTCCTCTTTGTTCTTGTCCATCGTATACAACGTGAACAGACCCGACACAGTTATTTGCATGCTCACTGCAACGTATAACGTACTGAATGAAGTCATTGTATTCATGTAATTCTTAATTGATGTCTAATAAACAACTAACAATAACTTTAACTATATTATCATTACGGTTTTATAAGAAAAGCTGTCCGTCCGTCCGTGTTGGAATATTATTATGTAGAATTTAATTAATAATATCCTTATAAAATAAGTAATAAAATTTTCAAATTATTTATTTTATTAACGTACACCAAGTCGCCAGCTACCACTAATACAAATTATTCTTAATATAGATTATTAATAAGAATAAATATGAATTATAATAGTTTTTTTTATTCCAAAATTAATTCAAATTAAATTTTAACATTTCTCTAGATTTTTTTCAAACCAAAATTGATAATTATTGATAAGGATTATTTTTAGAGAGAATATTTGTAGAATAAAAATCACATCTGTTACATATGTCATTTCTTCACATAATTATATTTCATTGCAGAAAATATTATAATATGTTATCTATAGTTTGGGCATCTCTGTCTTCGCCTAGCGTTGTTCCAAAAATAAAATTCGGTTCTAGTCAGGGACGGCGCTGTAAAATTTTTATGTAGAAACTCCATTTCTAAGAAATAATTAAGAAGCAATATTTGGACGTTGTTTATATATTGAAATTTATTTATCATAATTGTAAACTGACGACAGGTCATTATTTATAATTTAATAATATTTACATATAACATTGTTAATAATTCATAATTATATTTAATATATGGCAATACTGTATTATTATTTTAAAAGAAATCAATAGCGTTATATTTTAAAAAAAGAAATGAGCAATCGTTTAAAAAAGAGCTTTAATAAGATAAATAAAGAATTATAATTTTAATAAAATTAATATTAACTTTACGTATATGTTTAGTTTAATTTTGTCTTTTAAATATAATATTAAATGGTTACAACAGCACGTCACAGCGTGTGTTTACTTCAGTCCGCTCAGGGTCACTCTATTGACACACTGAAGCCACTCTGATATAGGCCAGTTGAGGACGCAAGCTACGGTTGAAATATAAACAAACTATTAAAAATATATCTAGATATATTTTAAACAAATACAGACGCTATAAGTTACACTACGATACTCCAGTTGCAACTTATGATATATCAAAGTTAATACAAGAAAAATTATTTGATTCCTTTTAAACTATAATATAGTTTAATTCAGTTTCAAATTCCAAAAATGCAAATAAGTAGTTAACTTATATATAATTTAATAGTACTATTTTTGGTAAGTGAATATAATCCTATACGTTACAAATACACGAAAAATAAGTCAAAAAATAATTAATGTTCAACCCTAATTGATAACTGTATTATAAACAATAGGAATTTGAGAAATAAAATAAACATAAATAAGCATTATAACAAAACTATTTCTATTTTAAATGAAACTAATATTTTCGGATTTTACTTCGCGTTTTTTATTTTTGATTACGAACTACATACTCCCGACGTTTCGGCTACTTTTCAGGAACCGTGATCACGGGCAGACGAGATGTGAGTGTCTGTCAAAAATAAAAAACGCGAAGTAAAATCCGAAAATATTAGTTTCATTTAAATGAGTACTCGCGAAAATCTTAGATCTCATTATTTCTATATAATTTTCGTTGCATATAAAGAGAAATAAGATATTTTTTAAGTATCGAAAGCACGACGACAGTTTTCGAACGCACCCAATGTCGTGTGACGTCACAATGTTACTATAATTTATTTTTTGGAGCTCGCTGCTCGAAGTTGTTATCGTCGGTATACTTAAAATATATGGGAAATGTTAAGTCTGATATGTTTTCATACTTGTGGACAAAAATAACTACATAAAACCGTTTTTAAATTATACACAACAATTATTTAAATGTATCTAGAAATTATTGGTTTTAAAAGTTTTACGCTAAATAGTTTTTTTTTGCTACGATTATTTTGATTTTCTAATGTAAATGTCAAATATAGAGATTTAATATTTATAAATGAAAAACCTGTATGAATAGTACTTTGTGAACACTTTTAAATACAGCAATAATTAAAACATTAAGTTTTTAATAGCTTTTAAACAAAATTAAAAATATTTGAAATGAAGATTTAAAATGTGTGTAAAAATATGATTTATTCCTTCTCTATTTCTTTCCAACTCATATTCCATTTTATTATTTTATTCACTATGTGCATTTCCCTTTTTACTCAGATCTAAATCCAAGCAGACAAAGTCGCAGGTAGAAGGGAGTAAATTGTAAAAGAGCTTATTTAAGTCCGATAATTATTTTCAATAGCTGTCGAAGTAAGATTCAATTTATTATATAACTGCCATCTGTTCAAAAAATCTTTAAGCTGTATCATTGAACACTTGTAAAAACTTCCACTATTGCCCAACAGATGTCTCTTATACCAATTTCAAGAATTACACCGGAAATACTTTACCGCACCCATTATTATTATTTTTTGGTAGTCTGTCGTATCTAAAATATTGAATACTATATAGGTCACTATTAGTTAAATGTCTGATCACAACAAACCACCTTTGACAAGTATTGAGCATCTTGATTACAATATACTAAATCAGTAGAAAAATAAAGTTAAATAATTTCTCCATTATTTTTATTTTAGTCCGGTCAAATAAGACCAAATAATAACAGTAAGGTTACATAAATTCCCACCAAGCTGAAAATCGGTAAGATTTTTTGAAATATCATTAAAAACAAAATTTGAAAGTTCCACATCTATCCCCTGTAAAGAAAAATTTTTATTCAAGGATATATAAGGATTAAAAATAAATTGTATATGTGTAGTGATTATTTTTGAATTATTTTGTATACTTTATTATCGTCGGTATACTTAAAATATATGGGAAATGTTAAGTCTGATATGTTTTCGTACTTGTGGACAAAAATAACTCCCTAAAACCGTTTTTAAATTATACACAACAATTATTTAAATGTATCTAGACATTAGGGGTTTTAAAAGTTTTACGCTAAATAGTTTTTTTTGTTATGATTATTTTGATTTTCTAACGTAGAAGTGTCAAATATAGAGATTTAATATTTAAAAATGAAAAACTTGTATGAATAATACTTTATGAACACTTTAAAATACAGCACTAATTAAAATATTAAGTTTACAATAGCTTTTAAAGAAAAATTAAAAATATTTGAAATAAAGATTTAAAATGTGTATTTATATATACTCGTAAATAGGATTTATTCCTTCTCTCTTTCTTCCATTTTTATAAATTTATTCACTTAAGTTATTTTTCTATTTAGCTTAGATGTCAATCTAAGCGGAAAAACTTGTAGGTACAAGAGATTAAGTTATAAAAGAGCTTATTATGTCCGATAATTATTTTGAATAGCTGTCGAAGTAAAATTATTTTTTTCATATAACTGCCATCTGTCCAAAAAACCTGTAAACTGTATCATTGAACACTTCTAAAAACTTCCACTATTGAGCAACAGATGTCTCTTTTAACAATTTCAACAATTACACCGGAAATACTTTACCTCACCCATTATGATTATTTTTTGGTACTTTATTGTGCCTAAAATATTGAATACTATTTAGGTCACATATTAGTTAAATATCTGATAGCAACAAACCACCTTTGATAAGGATTGAGCATCTTGATAACAATATACTAAAACAGTAGAAAAATAAAGTTAAATAGATTTTCCATTATTTTTATTTATTTCTGAATTTGTTTATTTTCAAATTAATATTTTTATAAATCATTTTTTGTAAGTAATATTTTAATGTTTATTTACCGAAATACCCTTTTGTATGTTAGGTAAATACTAAATTCTACATAGCAGATTGTCGAGTAAATCGTAAGTCATAAACCAGCCTGTCATTGTAGTATGTTAAAATAAAATAATAATTGAAAATAGATCTTAATCTTTATGAGACAAAACCTCTTAGCAATAAATGTATTCATTAAGGGGACCCTATCTAACGCGCTTTAAACGCTCTCCTCCACCGTCCAAGCTCTTCTCCTTACCGAATCAAATTTGACAAGAACCTACTAGGGCTGCCTTCGAAGAAATACCTACTCAAGATACCTTTGTGACTCAAACAGGGAATGTGAGACCAAATCCATGTAAAAGAAATTGTTTTTTTAAAGTTCTGTTCCTATAATATAAGTGTACTTATGAAATATAAAGAACAAACAATCTTCAGACTGTTGAGTGAAATTAAAGATCTGTATCTGGAAAAGCCTGAAATCTTAAACATCGACAGTCCTTTATTATATAAGGTGTAAAAATAAATTTATAAGTAGTAGTTATTTTTATAATAATATCTAATTACTTGGTCGTCCATCACACAGATAATTTTTTTTTTTCTTTTTTAGACAAAACCGCTTTGTACAATGTTTCGTTTTTCTTTTATGTAGTGCACTTAAAGTTATATTATTGTTAAAACAAAAATATATAGTCTTTAATGTTTACTTTTCCTTAGTATATGATAATGAATATCTTTTTTACATGTGGGGATTAATATTATTTATATAATAAATCACTTTCCTTCAATATTTGTCGTCACTTATTTGAAGATAGATGAAGATGCTTTTTAAAGTAACATTTTATTTATAATTGTAATAAAATAGACTAGTTATATAATATTTTATGACATAATATTCAAAATTTTTCCATTTATATTTATTTCATTATTTTTTTTTTAATTGGTAATGTGTATAAATAATATATCATTTCTTATTTAAATGTCAGTATTAAAGTTGAACAAATACAATCATTCTAATTAAAAACTTACCATTATGTTATAATTGTTACTCACACAAACATATTGTGTGATGGTACATATCTAATATCTATATAGTGAGAGCCGCAATGTAATGCGACATGCAATACAGGGTGACTGGTGAATTACTATCAATATTTAAGGAGAATACTCGGTACATGATTCTCATTCGAATTATGTAAAAAAATAGGTACTTAATTTTTGACTAAATTTCCGTATAAATAAATAAAGTGTGGACACGTTCCAAGTGCTCCAAGTGTGGACGCGTGCGGCGGCGTGATGATACAAAAACACGCCGCCGCACGCGTGTGTGTGTGTGTATACCTAATCTGTAGGGTGTTCCCACGATGCGTAATTAATTACATAACTTTTGTTTAACTTTACTTAGAAGTTTATTAATATTTATGTTATATTAATTTTTATTTTGTCATATATGATCGTCAAATATCACGTCCTCAAGTATCGATAGTAATTCACCAGTCACCCTGTATACTGTGACGAAAAAATTTAGTTCATGTCATTATTAAAGTTACTAATTTAACTATAAATGTATTATATTAAGTGATTTAATAGAAAAATAAAATTATGTAGATTAATCTTTGGTTTACTCATTTTATAAATAATGTTTTTAAAACAACAGTTATGCTAAGTTTTAGTTCCTGATTTAATGAAGTCAGAAAAAATGTAAATTTAATTAAATTATATTGATTTAGATAGAACAAAACAACAGAAAAGAATTCTCCGTGTGTGTCTATCGAAATTTTCATTATTTATACAAGAACTGTTTAAAATGTTTTCGATTAATTTCCACACTTATATTGTATTATGAATTTATTTTTTTATTAATAAAGTATTTTTAACCCCAGTCTGAGACTGAACAATTCTGTTTATATTGATTTTTGTTGCGAGATCTTAGTATAAACTTTAAATTTGCTTTGAAAACACTTTTTATGAATTTTAATTATAAAATTTGGAAAGTATGATATTTAAAATTTAAAAAAAAATTGTAACAGATGAACGAGATATTCTGCAATATTTGTAATTAACTCTAAAAAAAATTAAGACTGTCGTGAAAATACTAAAATATTTTATTGTTATAATTATTTAAATATTGAACCAATATCTAAACATTGTTAAGATTGATTTATCTTAAAATTAATTACATATACATATAAACTACTACAACTACGATTATGAGTTATGACATTTTCTTAAATATTTGATTAATAATAATTAAAACAACAAAAATTATTAGCGTGGAAGTGATGAAGTTACATCTAGATGAATAATAATTTATAACAAAATTTCTAGTTTTTTTTATAGTTATGATATACTAGGCTTCATTCACACTGGAATTAAGCAATATTTTGCCAACGTCAACGTTTTTGTGTGTGAATAATATTATTATTTAAATATATTCTTGAATAAAACACAAAAGAGTTTATCAAATGGAATAAAAGTTTTTAAGTTGACTATTAATATATATCTAATTCTATATATTTTACAATAACGAATGTATTTTAACATACGCAAAGGTTATCGTATTATTAACATAACCATATAATAAAAATGTTTCAGTTATTTTTCATTCATATTATAAATGAAAATACTTTACTTGGTACGTTAAGTTGAGAAAAACGTTCATTCACATCTCTCCGTCAGCACGATAACACCGCTTTGATTGAAGCGCGAAAAACTAACAAAAAATTAGTATTTTTTTACAAAATTCAGTATAATTGTAAAGAAATGTTATAAATTTATAATGTTATATCAAATTATTATTATTTTATTGTATCTGTATCAAGTGAGATCTGAGTTATATAGTTTACACGATGGTAGAGAGACGGCGGTTAGTTATGATGCTGAGTGGATTGTGGAAGTAGTAGGTGGTGAGGAAGTGGCTCAACTGGTGGCGTTAGAACATGGATATAAATATGAAGGACCGGTGAGATATATAGACAAATTAACCAAAAAGTTTATATATGTACTTTATAATATGTATAATATTATTTTTTTTGTAATCAGATGTTTTTTTTAATGTAATTTTATGAAGTAAATTCGAAAGGTTTAGATAAATAAAAAAAGGGATCAAAATTAATGTAGGTCTTACAAGGTTGAGAAAAAAATATTTTTTATCGAAAGATTTGATGATATATAAAATTAATAATAATAAATGTTTCATTCAAATATTTTTTATTTTGATATTGTTTTTTTTTATTGAAATATACAAAAAACCACAGTGATGGCTCGCTGTATAAGAAGGTCTTATTGTTTCAAACGGAAATAAATTAAAATGCACGTTTCCTTACGGAAGCCGTAAAACCTGCGATGCTAATTTAAAATAAATAATTAATTATTTTCTTACGTATGTTAAGTTAATTTATTTACTAAATTCTGGTTATTTTCAGCATTATTATTTTTGTTTTAACTACTTTATATAATTTAGTTAATATTTTGTATCAAATTAAAACACATGCTGAAACTATTGTTAAATAATAAATTTAATAAGAATATTCGTATATAAAAAATACCAGTATAAAAAGTTCTCACAAAACAAAAAATATATCTCTTTATATATATATAATTCTTCTGTGAGTGTGTATGTCACTGAACTTCTCTGAAACGACTGGATTTTGATGAAATTTTTTGTGTGTGTTCAAAGGGGTCTGGGAATGGTTTAGATTCACAATTTCGTCCGCTGGATAATGTTTTTTTAATTAATTTTTAATGTATTAGTAATTGTTGATACAAACGTTTTTTTTGACATTAGATTTTACAACTAACTAATATGTCAATCATTCTGTCGCACTTCAAAACTCGGATAATTATGGCTTTAATAGGTAAACTCCAAAAATATAAATAAAAAACGTAACAGATATTTCTTGATTACAGGGCGATACGAAGTTCGCCGGGTCTTCTAGTATGTATATATAACTTTGTAATAAAACAATATATTTGATTGATATAAATATTAAAATATACTATAATTTTATATGTAAATAATTATTTAATTGTCTTATATTGGCATTATGGCTATTAAATTTTATAATCTGTGCGTATCAAGCGTTCGACTAATGGCGGACCGTCCAGAACGTGACGAACAACTGTCACACGGCATTAACGAAATATAATTAATAATTATTATTAATTGAATTAGAAATTAATTAAAATAAATTTCAGTATCACAAATCTATTCAATATTAAATAATAATTTTATTATATTTGATTATTATAGAATATATAATTTTTGTATATTAATACTTAAACATTTTCCGTCGAATTCAACCTTCAATCGTTTTAGCTTCAAATAATTAAAAAAAAAAATTGTTAAGAAACAAAATGGTATACCCAATTAACTTGTATTTATTTATTTTAATAGTTTCATATTATAATGATTTTTACTAGTATAGATAGTGAATTAAAAAAATGCCTAAAATTTATTCAAGCGTTCGATCGAAATCACTAAATCCCTACGGACTTAATAAGGCTCTGGGATTTTGTTTAATTAACTTTATACCAGCATTTTATAAATAGCTTTTGTTTATTTGCATTTATTTTTATCTATAGAAAATCAGTTAGACGTGTATAAAATTTATAAAAAATACATGTGATATTGGTTATGTAGTTGATAATGGAAGAATTTGATTATAACTTCTAGTTAGTAGACTAGTAGTTTTTCTGAAGTTGTTATTTATGAGTTTTAATGTTTTATACAAAATTATAGTTAAGATTTACTGTAATTGTTAAGGGGATAAAATTATTCAGAAAAGATTTATCCCTACTAATATTATAAATGCGAAAGTAACTCTGTCTGTCTGTCTGTCTGTTACGCTTTCACTCCTAAACCACTGAACTGATTTTAATAAAATTTGGTACGGATAGAGTTGATTTTGAGAAAGAACATAGGATAGTTTTTATCCCAGACTTTTTAAAAGTTCTCTTGGAAACGCGATATAACCGAACTCCACGCGGGCGAAGCTGAGGGCGGAAAGCTAGTATCTTTATAAACAGATAATTTTTCGTCACAAAGCCTTAAAACTTAAAACTCATTTGAGTACAAAAAAAAATTACACAAAAAGGTTCAATAGTTATTGAGCCTATACAGGGTGACTGGTGAATTACTATCAATATTTAAGGAGCATACTCGGTACATGATTCTCATTCGAATTATGTAAAAAAAATAGGTACTTAATTTTTGACCAAATTTCCGTATAAATAAATAAAGTGTGGACACGTTCCAAGTGTTCCAAGTGTGGACGCGTGCGGCGTGCGTGGATACAACAACACGCCGCCGCACGCGAGTGTGCGTGTATGTATGTATACCTAATCTGTAGGGTGTTCATACGATGCGTAATTAATTACTTACTTTTGGTTAACTTTACTTAGAAGTTTATTAATATTTATGTTATATTAATTTTTATTTTGTCATATATGATCGTCAAATATCACGTCCTCAAATATCGATAGTAATTCACCAGTCACCTGTATAGTTATTTCAGCGAGAATTTTTTTATTTTTTAACATATCTAAAATCATAACGACAAATTTTTAATAATGCAAATAAATATTAAGTTGAATACATTTATTTGACATTCGGTTAATATTTACGTACATTTAAAACAATGTAACAGGCCAAAGAAAAACTTCAAAGTGACATTTTAAAAGGTGACAGACAATAGTTGAAGGTCATGTGTTCAACTGACAAGTGACAAGTTACTAAATTTTAACTTCCACAGATACAAAATAAGAAGTATATTTAATTAAATAAATAATAATTCTATGTTTTTATTATTTAAGAGTACTTTTTTGTTATCATTTCGTTTCAAGTACAGCACTCGATATTCAAATAAAGTGATCTGTCATATCTCGAGTGGCCATCGTCCTGTCACTTATCTAAATAAATAAAACTTATTTCGTCACATATTAATTGTTTCCAGTAATATTATATTTATTAATTAAATGTAAAGCTAATGCTATTAACGTGTTTGGTGCAAATAGAAAACATCTTTATAAAAAAATTGTTCAAAACCGAAGAACTTAATTTATACAGCCGAAAATAATAGCCAAATAGTTTTACTACATATAAAACCTCTTTTATAAATTTCATTGAAATAATAATTAGGACAGATTGTGTGATAGTTGAATGTGTCTAGTAAAGTTTGTCAGTATAGATGGCGTTAGTGTGCTATACAATATATGTATTAATAACATTTATTTGTTATTTTTAAGGTCGTGTGACATGTCTTGTAATACAACCAGTGTTGTTCCACGCCTGCTCATTAGTCGTACATCGCCGACAGTCGTCCTCCTAATTGTTACAAATGGTCATCGCATTTGTCTCAATTCGATCTGCCAATCAGCTGTGACATTATTACAACCAGTTCAGAAATCGAATGAAAACTATTTAATAATAAATAATAAATAGGTTTTTTTTTTATGTTTGACATTGAAAATATTTAATATTTATAGTAGAACTCTTTTAATTCGATTTCATAATTAATGTGTGTTGCGTCTAAATTAGTTTAACGAATTAAATGCCTCCCTCATGAGGGGTGTCCAGGCCGCATGACCACGTTCGACAGGGAGAGTTTTTTCGATATCTGATTGTACCAGGGTAGCATTAATGAATTAGAGTATAAAAATAAAACCTAAACCAGGAAGGACATCGGGATTATATGAAAAATTTATTCGAATATATCGCCTGTATCTCATAATACAATTTTAATTCCTCAAGTGTTTATAAAGTATATGATATTGTAACGTACATTTAATTCATATTTTTTTATTAATGAAGACTTTCACTACACTAAGGAGTGATTAGAAGTGACAGTTAGCCGTCTCACGCCCACTTGGCCCGTAGCAAGTGTCTTGTACCTAATGGTTAACTAGATTTGCGTCACAGTTCATTAGACAAGACCTAGAAGAAATAAAAAAACACGCTGTAAACTAAAAATAGAAGAGAAGGCGTCCACATTGTATACATTTATAACAAATTTATTGAAATATTTGTTACACAAATAGAGTTATTAATATTTTATGAATTCAGTATTCAAAAGATACGATTATGTTTTGTATTTAATGCATTTCAAACCACTGGTTCCTTATAAAACAGGTAGATGGCGTTGATAATGAAGCAAGTAGAAACCAATAAGGTAGGAACTCCTGAAATTTTCAGGCGGCGCTAACCGTAGATTTAGCGTCGTTAGTACTAGGGAAGCATAGTTTTAGAAGAGAACGTTTTCAGCTTTACAGAAACACTTGTTGATCTATTTACGTAATGGGCGGGACGGCGCGCCGTGGAAAATGTTCGGTTCAGTCAGTTTGGAACGATAACGTTTCATTAGAGACGCGTAAACAGACTGTAATGAAGGAAAACTCAACAATTGTAATAAAAATTTATTATAGTAATTATTCAATTGAAATAAGCATAAAGATGAGACAGATAAAACATATTAAATAATAATTATACACAGATAATAAATAATATTACAAAAACTAACAATATACAAAACAAGTTCGATTTATGAAATGTCCGTCTTATTTGAGCTTCATTCACACATTGTTTGAGTTTCTTCTTAAACAAAATAGTGGTTCTTATGACGCGCCCGGTCATGTAATATTATACCAGGGTGGCAGACATTACAGACGAGCGATTTTACATATTTCTACGAAAAATTTCACTTAGTAACAGGAGATCATGAGATGTGAGGACGTTCGTAATTTGTTCCGTAACACTCATCATAAATGAAAATTTAAGGGAAATGGAACGCTACTGTACTGTAATGTATTGGGTACTATTGAGTAAAGGGGTATTAAATTTCGATTCGCATTTGTTTTTCACTTTTCATGATTATTCCTTGTAGATAGATAGATGGTACAGAATTTTTTTAGGCAAATTTAAGTCATACACTCTGGGAATTAGTAGTCCTTACTTCTAGTTCCTGAATCTTTAACATCGTTGGCTAAAGCGACATCTTTTGCATTTAGAAGGAAGGTCAATTTTAAAATTGGAAAGAAACAAGTTATAATAGAAAATATGAGAGCTTTTTTTTCAAGTTTATTGTAATAACAATATTTAGAGAATATAATATTGATGACACTCTTTTGAGTTGTGTTATATCTTTGAAGCTTAAAGAAAGTGAGAATTTATGTAAGTTATTGTTTTATTTTTGCGGTGAAACACTCTACTTGTTTACTTGCTTGCTTGCAAGAGTTTAGATTATATTTGAATGTAATAAATTTGTTTCCAAAATTTGACAGTTATAAAACCAAGAAAAAGATTTTGAAATGCGAAACATTCAGTGTTTATCAGATATGATATTTTTAACACGATTTAGATTTACGTCTAAAAATGGTTGCAACATAATATACAATTAACGGTTGATATTATTGGTATTTAATATTGATAATTCTTTGTTTGCATCAAGGTAATATATTTGTTAACATACATTTACTATCGTTAAACACGTCTGGCAACTTAAAGTTGATTGTTTCTTTTTAAATCACACCCTATGCGGACTAATTATACTAATTGATTCAGCCAATATTTATTTTAGATATTTACAAAAAAAATAAAAATTTCAACCCTTTTATAAAAGGAAATATAACGTTTTCTAATAAGTTTAATATTTATTATATTGGTTCGACTATATTAATCAACAAAATAGTGTCACGATCATTCTTGTTTTCACTACTACGCATATGTGTTGTAGGGAACACACACACACATTTCTCATGGCTCAGTTTGTATTGCACCCTTGTTTGTTCCACCCTATTCCCGAGTGTGCGTGTGTGTGTGCGCGCGTGTGTGTATGTGTGCCACATGTGTCGTATACCTCCTCCCATCCCCTGTTTCCCTGGTACATACGTGATTGAACAAACTCACATGTTCCTCGGACGTGACATATTCTTCCCACACACGTGCCTGTTTGTGTTGTTTATTAATTTGCTTATTAGATAGATACAGACTTATTAGAAAATTTATATATTTTAATACTGAAACTTTCACCAAGTGAAGACATTAAAAAATTATATCTCAAGTCATTATATATTTATTTGGAAAGATAGCTTAAAGCTCCAAACTCTTAAGCTTTTTTAACTCTCTCTTTCTAATTAAGAACAGCTAGCTAGTAACTGTTTGATTTGAATATGCATATGCGGCTTAATTATGAACATGCCGCTCTACATTCCGTTCGCGTGTACGTATCAACTACAACAGTCTACATACACAGTGACATGTGTCGTGTGTGACACTACACCGCTACGCGTTCATGATCCCCTGGTACTAACGTGTGTCCGAATATCCATGTGATGGCATCTGACAGACGTCAATTATTTTTTTACATATGAATGAGGTTCTTCTCCATCAAACCTGAATTTTAATATAACTCTACAAATTCTTTGATTACTTCGATTGACGTGTAAATAAATGTTGGTGGATGGTAAGAAAGCTAGTGAGGAGAGGACAAATATCAGTTTTGTTTTTATATCGTAAATTTAATAATATTATTACATATGTTACAAAGCTTTCTGATCAATGTTGCTTTAATGAAAAATACTCTCTTTTCTTGTTCATAACGTTTATTGATCCAGAATGGACGAATATGGTTTCGTTGTCTGTGTAACCACCACGCAACGCTTATACAACTACTTAGTTTTGTTTTTCAAATATTCCATTATATAATAATTCGAAAATATTTCTATAGATATGTTATTACAAAAGCTTAAAAAATTACGATTACCTATATTCCTAATAGGATTATAACAAGTGTAAATGATTATTTATTTATATTAGTGTCGTCGTCTCCGTCGTAGGTGCTGGGTTTGTCCAACATGTATGCGTTCCACGCACACGAGCGCAAGGAGCGTCGCACCCCGAGCGAGCACACATCCACACTGCGCAAGGACAGGAGGGTGAGTGATTCGTCACACCTGCACGGCTTCATGATGTCCTGGTAGTTTTTATCCGCAATACACGTGGTGTGTACAGCCTACGAACCTCCGGAACTCATAATGTTAACGGCCTCCGGGGCCGCGACCTTCACTCACGGCCAGTGGCTCATCCGCAATCATAACATAACTATGACGGACGATACAACATAGTGTTCAAACTAGAAGGCTAGGTTCAAACAATATATCAACTAAATCACAAAGTGCAAACATGCTTGAAGAAAATAATAATGATTTAAATTTTAGATTCGATGGGCCGAACAACTCTTTGCAAAAAGTCGCGTGAAGCGATATCCGTACCCTGACCTCGACGGCACATTAAAACGAGTAAAAAGAATAGATGAATACACCAGGGACGCAGACTTTACGAGGAGCTCGGCTGTGGAACACGGACGGAGGGAACTCTTCAATGACGAACTCTGGGCCTACGAATGGTATTTGGTAATTACGTTCATAGCAGATCACAGAGAGTACTTTATATATTTATTACAAATGTTTTGCTATCAACATTAATGATCCGCAAACTATAATTAAATACTTGAACTATTATTTAACATTTATTATTTAACATTTTATTATTATACATTTATAATCTGTTATCACCTCGAATTAAATTATTATTGTTAACTTCCAGCAAGACACTCGTGACAATCCTAATGTACCTCGGCTGGACCTCAACGTTTTGTCAGTGTATAATATGGGCTACAACGGCCGCGGTGTTCGCGTGTCCATACTCGACGACGGAGTCGAACATAACCACACGGACTTACAGAACAACTACGTTAGTTTTATGCTATCCTAGTAGTTGTATTAAAGTCCTTCCATGTTTCCGAAGTAAAGATACAAAAAAAAAAAATAAAGCAACAATGTTTACCAAAAAAATATTTATGGTTGGTTGGCTTACAATATTTCAATTAACAAAAATATACAACTTCGAGAGTCAGGGATGAATTATTATCATTATTTATCCAGATTGTAAGTATTGTAAAAAAGTTACGTTACGATTGAAAAGGTCGATTTCACCTAGTACTCGTCGATAAATATCAAAAACCTTGAACATTATCTCCTACAAATTTCTGAAGTCCTAGTAACTTCGCGGCCGATACAACTATTGAACGCACATACGTGCTTCCTCTCTCTCGTTACAGTCGCCGGCTTGATCAATTGTATTAAGAAAGATTGATCTTCCTACTCTAACCAGACGATGATAAATTTTATTAATTAATGTTTAATTTATTATAAAGGATCCCGAAATCAGTTGGGATTGCAATGATGGAGACTCGGATCCATATCCGAGGCACGACGATAAAAACCGGAATTCTCACGGCACGAGATGTGCCGGTGAGGTTGGTACTATGCAATTATTACTACTAATTTCATAAAATTTTAAATTCTACATTTAAATTCAGTGCACAATCATTTATGTATTTAATAGATAGCGATGACGGCTAACAATAAGAAATGCGGAGTGGGCGTGGCCTGGGGCGCCAAAGTGGGTGGAGTCAGAATGCTCGATGGACGAATCACAGATCATGTTGAAGGCGAAGCAATAGGTCAGGAATTCGATGTTATGCTCTCCTGGTACATTCGAATGTCATTTGAATAGACTGTAGAAAAAAGAATTTATCGCGCCCGTTGTTGCCATTTAGAAATAAAAAAACTTAAAATTATTAAATTATTCGATCCATTATTTTTACCACTTAAATTTCACATTAAATACATATTGTTAATAAATTAAATACATGATACAGAAAAGCTTATATTTATTATAATTTAATTAACTACTTAGGCGGTCTCAATTTCATGAGCTTGTATTTATTTGAAAGAATATAATTTTTGTTATTTATGATAATTATTAATTATTAATTTCTTCACTGTACTTAACAAGGGACTAGTGACTTATTCCTTGAACATTTCGAGCCAATGTTGCGCTCGGTATCAGTATACTGAGTATCCGCCTCGTCGACAGGCCTCTACATATCGCCTTTCGTTTATGCGTCCCTGGTACAAAGACTGGAAAATGACGTAACATCAAAACATTTTTCGTGTGACAGACAAATGAAAAATTTTATTATTTATTTTAAATTAATTTTGATTAATAGGACTTAATTAAGACAATTTAGTTGAAAGTAAGTAAATAATATTGAAAATAAAGATCACGTAATTAAAAATATTTTAAGCAAGAAAAATGTATGTGTTATTTGTGTTGTCTACTTATTTAATAAACAAATGCAATTAATTAAACACAGGTTTCCATAATTCTCAAAAATATTTTAAATATTTTTTGTGCCATCTTGGAATGTCGGAACGTCCACGCCATTGACCGCAAGTGCTAGGAGTTCATAAATTAAAGGAACTATCGGTTACCAAGACGTAGGAATAGGAAAATTTACAACAGGGTTATTTTATACATATTTCTAAAACATTTGATGATAATTATATAACCGAATATTATAAAAAAACCTTTAAAAAAATATATGGAGTATAATTTTTTATATATAGCCTTCATTCGCAAGATGTTTGTTATGATTATTATGATTCAGGATTCGCGTGGGACAAAGTGGACATATACAGCGCCTCATGGGGCCCCAACGACGACGGAGAGACTGTGGAGGGTCCAGGCCGACTCGCTATGGAGGCCTTCAGGAGAGGAGTGCAGATGGTAACTCACAGTTAACATGGTAATATACAGTCCGAACATCGATTATATAGACTTTGTTTCAGGGACGGAACGGTAAAGGGAGTATATTCGTATGGGCCAACGGAAACGGTGGAACACACGACGATAACTGTAACTGTGACGGGTCAGTAATCAGTATAGAAGTGACGCTCAACACAACACACGCGCACACACACACACACGTGTACAATGTGTTAATATATGTAAATTATTTTCCAGCTACTCTTCCAGTATGTACACGATATCTATTGCCAGTGCATCCCAACAAGGCCTGTTTCCTTGGTACGGAGAGATCTGCTCCTCGACTCTAGCGACCGCATACTCCTCTGGTGCTTACAGAGATCAGAAAATTGTAAATATATCGTTGTCCTTATCTATTTGCATATATCAGAAAGTGACTAAAATACTTCTAGATCTATGAGCACGGTTCTCATTTTATCCCGTGGCGATTGTAATAGGCTTGAGTGAGATAGGCATGTTAATGTTATAGGCCACTACAGATGTAAACGACTCGTGTACACTTGGGCACACGGGCACCTCCGCAGCGGCGCCATTGGCCGCCGGAATTATTGCTTTAATGATAGATGCGAAGTAAGTAAAGCTAAAGGAATAATTTGGAAATAAATAAAGAAAATGGTATTATATTTATCACAAAAGTATTTAATTTTAAAAATTTACACATTATTGCATATTAATAAATGGAGATCTTAAAATGTATGTAGATTGACATCAAGAATTTATAGTATGCATACATCATTAATATATGCTGTCCTAGTACATTGTGCGTTACGGTCTGTACATCGCTTTAGTTTAAAATTCTTCAATGGGAATATTTTTACAGTCCAAATTTAACTTGGAGAGATGTCCAACATCTGATTGTATGGACTTCGGAATATACATCGCTATCAGATAATCCCGGTTGGCAAGTCAACGGGTAAGCATTGAGGATTTTGTATAAAATAATCGTGTAAATAAGAAAATTTTATAAAATAACCCACAAAATTTTGTTACACACATTCCAGAGCGGGTCTTTATTTCGACGTACGTTTCGGCTTTGGTCTTTTGAACGCCGGGTCTCTCGTCAACGCCGCACTCAACTGGACTACAGTACCAAGTGCACTATCATGTAGAATCACTGCTTCTCCGTGAGTATGGCGCCTTGGTACAACGGACGGTCGTTACGTGTTGAGGCTACTTCTATCGCCGCAAAGCAAAACAACATCAACACAAACTTTCTTTCCTACTCCATCTATCACAAACTAACTAACTAACTCTACACATTCTCACAACTGAAATTAAAGAAAGATTAAAAAGATTCATAAAGTTTCTGGACAAGTTGTTTCATTGTTCTTTTTTTATTTTTAACAAAAGATACATATTTATTTAAATTAAGACCAATCAAAATTTCGTATTTATTAAGTTTGTTTCTATTTTAAAGCCAACAGTTGTTTATAAATGTGACGCCTGTTGCTTTATGATATCCTGGTAAAGGATTTGTTAAGTTTCGACCGAAGGGTAAGAAAATAATTTAAACATTTTTTTATGTTTTTCATCGAAATGTAAAAAAATCAGACAAGCGCCCCCCGTCGATTAAAACATAATATACATAATGTCGATTATGTAATTTGTTTAAAAATATATTTTATTACATAAGGAAAATTTTATAATTTTTTTTTTTGTATCATTTAAAATTTATTCATTTCATTGTCCCCCAACAACCGACCACAAATTCACAAGTCACATACAACTATACAACAAAACATACACACATAAGAACTGTATACTCATCATCGTCATTCGTATAAGCGGGACGGGACGGCTTCAACTCGTAACGAATGTACATCGCCTTTTAGTTTATGTGTTCCTAGTAAAAGATTCGTTAAGTTTCGATCGGCATTTAGACCAGTTTCTAAATTGCCACTTGATAATGACCCACGTTGACACACTTTACTCGTGAAGCATTAGTTCGAATTACGCTGGTTACGAAGCTTAAATCGACTCGATTCCAGCCACCTTCGAATTCAGTTTCGTGTCCAGTATAATGTGAACCGAGTTTTAGAGGAAGAAATGTGTAGTCATGGGTTCTTACTACACTGGATCATATGATGGAATCGACGTTTCAACGAAATTGTCGATCAAATTTAACGAATCGTGTACTAGGACCTCATAACAAAGAAAGAAGCGGTAATTAAACTTTAAACTGTAGAAGAGTGGAAAAATTCTTCACTTCTTATTTTTTTTTTAGGATCAAAGGCAAAGTGGCGATCTCAGCAATGGAAACTGTAGATATAACAATAAAAGTATCGGATTGTGAAGTAAATTACCTGGAACACGTGGAGCTGTATGTTAATATCGAGTACACGCGAAGAGGTGCTTTGGAAATACACCTAATTTCTCCTCAAGGTTGTTGAAGTTATTATTTAAAAAAACCAATGTGCTTTATATGTGTATATTTTTATTTATATATTTTTCTTTCACACCATATGTAATTGCAATATGCATATCCATAAGTTCATATATGCATATTCAGATAACAGAATAATTTTGTACAAATATTTGAATTCATTATGAGTTTACCATTGATAAATTTATATAATTAAATAGATATGTATTTCTTTTTATTTATTATTTTCATTATATTCACCATCGGATACATCAGTAATTACCGTGGTTGATTGTAAGACCGAAACAATAGGCATAATATCATATGAGAAATAAGATACATACATATTGTCTTAGAATGAAGATTACAAAGATATGTATATAAACTTAAAACGATCTACTGACTGAGATATATAGGTACATATATACTTTTTTCATACTCTAGCTATGAAAAAATGCGAAAAAGAAAATATGCGCGGACTCCTCTCCCTTGCCCTTACAGTAATATACGAACCGTAACACTCTATCTATCTATCTCCACTAACTTAAATTTCCCTCTTACTTCCGTTCGCCTCGCCCAGTCACACTTTTCGTAAAGCTTTCGTCACGCAGTCAGCTTACTTCCAAGTCAAGTTTGCCTAAAGAAGTGTTACTTCAAAAATGCCAGCAGGTTTGGTTTCCTAATAAATTTTAGTTGAACTAATATTTATTAAATAATTTTATATCCAAAGTACCTATTATCGAACTCTATCAAAGCCGTAGCGGCACGTAGATAAGCAAGAATGTAAAGTCGACCGCCTCGCACTTTATGATGTCCTAGTATTTCGGAAGATTGTGACGTATGGGAGACGTGATTCTTAACAACTATGTCATTTACGTCCTTATTGTATGTTGTTTTTCCTCTTTCCACATCAAAGGAATTTGTAATTGATTATTAATTAATTATTTATAATTTATAACGACTGTAGTAGAAGCATGCATATAATAATTCATTTAAAATAATATAATAATTCATTTAAAATAATACACTTAATACAAGTACCTAATCTCCCAGGTACGATGGTTCAAGTACTCAGTCCTCGTCCGAGAGATACGTCCAAAGCCGGATTTGTTAACTGGCCCTTAACCTCAGTAGCGACGTGGGGAGAGAGAGCTAATGGACTTTGGAGGGTCATCGTACAAGACAAGGTAGTTAGTAAATCATTATACTATTTTTGTTATATAAAAGGAAGTTTATATATGCGTACTGGTGATACAAGAAAAGGAGGATAAATAAATGCTTAAAGTAAAATTATTTTAATAAATTGACTTTTTAGGGGAATAAGTGGAACACGGGTTACGTAGGCGAACTGGTTCTCATAGTCCACGGTACAAACGAAATGCCCGCTCACATGAGGAGCGGTCCGAGGAGATACGATGACACCTACAGCCGGTACGAGAGCGAGTCGTATGAGGATGAGCCGGCGGTACCAGGAGATCAGGAGCACGGAGGAGTAGTCAGCGCGCTACTGGACCAGGCCGACACAGAGCTACTGAGGAACTACCACAGCAGGGGGCAGCAGGCCGGCGAGCGACGCCTCTATTGAAACACTACCGACAGATTTAACCTTCTGTACGAGTCTGAGAGCTTGGTAGTTTTTTTTTGTTACATATTTTTTTTGTGCTCTTTTTTAATTTAATTATTTATTTTAATTTTTCTTGTCTTTGACATATCATTTGCAAATTGGATGATAGAAAAATACAAATTCTACCTATATTTTGTTAAATGAAAATAAAATCAAAATATAGTTCATATCTCATACAATTTATTATACTGTTGATCGTCGACGGTGAAGCCCAGCTCCCTGAGCTCCTTGACCATGAAGTCGTCCTTGAACCTGTCCACCTTCCTGACCCACTCGTCGACCTCCACCACGTGCGGGCAGCAGCCCCCGTACTCCGGCGGGAGGTACTCGGGCGGTATGTGCCGGTGGAGGGAGGCCATGTCGTGTCCGTGGAAGTGGACCCGCTCCCAGGCCGCGGTCGGGATGAACTGCTTGAACACGTAGAAGAACGTGTTCAGGATCCAGTTGTAGCGGACTATGTGGAGGCCGTGCAGCAGCAGGGGGAAGGATACCTGGAGGATAAGACGTACCTACTTGTTCATATACATACATCGATATATCAATAAGTATTGTATACAAAATATATATCAGCATAATTTATATACTCGGATTCAGCATTAAGTCTGCTGAGGACATTGAAATGTTTTCATATAATGTTATATGCCGACTGACCCCCATGAGGCTGACGATCTGATGCGCTATAGTGGGTGTGAGGTGTCTCACATGTCTCACACTGAGTCCCTCCAGGTCGACTATGATGGTGACGCCTAGTATCTGTAGCTTGGGCTGCATGACCGCTATTTCATCCATCAGCAGGGCGCAGCGGACCACGTCCACCACTGGGACGGCTTCCGTGTCCCAGCGACCTTCAATGTTCAGGAAAAACAATTAAAATATGAGCCTTTCACGAGATAACGTCATTAGTAGCTGTGGGGAAACACTCAATGACATGTTTAATATTAATATTACCTTAAAATTAAGCTGAGAGTTATTATGACCAGATAGAATACTAAAAAAACAAATACATTTTAAGAGCTTTCAACAAACCAGCTTTTACCTTACTGATAAATGAAATGGGATTGTTTATTTGTAACAATAGCCTTTTACAGTTTATTATATACATTAATACTAATAAAAATAATACTAAAAAGAAATTTAATTCTTATCTGCCTGTATGTCTGTTCTGATTATTATATAAGAACAAGATCTATTTTGGCCTGACTTTCATTAGTAGATAGCTTAGAAAACTTATTTACTTTTATCTAATGATAGCACACGAAGTGTATACTATCATTTCACTATATTTCCCCATAACTTGTCTCCCACTTGAGGTATACTAACCGAACCTCATGAGTGTGATCCTGCCGTGGTGCGGACTCTCCGGCAGGGTCCCTCCGTACACGCCCTTCACCTTCTGGAGCCCGAAGGCCTTGCAGTCATACAGGTAGGAGTTCTTACGACGGAACTCTTCATAACGGACCATCTAACAAATATAATAATGCAAATTTTAAGTCTTATATGAGTATTTTTTGTCACGCTTTCTACCAAAATACAGTATATTGATTTCAATAAAAAATGTCTTACAATTAAATTCAAATTTCCGTAAATTTAATTGAGGTTTTATTTATCGCGAAATTGCATGAAGTTCCTGTTTAAAAACAGGTTAAACAGTAGATATGTTTAGCATAATTTTAAATTATTTTGTCTTTCATAAATCTTCGAAAACTATCTCCGTACGTGATTTAATGAGAAACGGGAAACGCTTCGTATGTAATGTAACGATGTAATCTCGTGGTAAACGTATTGTTTTATTTTGTATTCACAAGTCACGTAACACAGACCATAGATGGCGCTGCCAGTAATATATGTTTCTTAAACACACACTATTTGTTTTTCTTTGAACCCACTAACCAGACTACACAGAAGTCGTGGACACAACTAGTATATATATCAGATTTTATTATTTAAGATATAATTAATTAATAAAGTATAGTCCGTTAGACTTAAGCTGAGCTTTGCATTTGTGTGAGTGAAAGTAAAAGTAGAGTTAGACAAAAAACTTTTAGAATTAAATTTTATTATATTTTAAACAGATACATAACATAAGTGCTATGAAATAAGCAAACCTTGTAAAAGTCCAGATGGAAATATTTTGAATATTGAGGAAAAAAATTATTGATTAATAAGAATTTTGAAAAAACTACCAATTCTTATTCACTTGACATTGCTTTTTCAACATTTAACGTTGCTACCATTACAAAGGGTGAAGTGCGGAAGGTGCGGGGCGGAGTAAAAGCAGAATAAACCGGTTCAAAACTAGAAAAAAACGTTTCATTCAATAATTTGACACCACACCTACACTATCCGTGTGCACTCACACAAATGCAAAGCTCAACTTAAATCAAACGCACTATAGTATTTTTTCGATACCATGGCTTCATTCACACTGATATAGTGGAATATTTTGCCTTAGACTTTTTTTATCATGACCAAATTATAATACAATTTTTTGTACTGTGTGGAGAAAAGACGAAGGAGTTTAAGTAATGGAAATTTCCGTTTTTTTAAGACTTAATAGTTGATTTAACAAGAAGTAACAAGCGTTGTGAAGTTGTTGCTTTGACAGAGTCTAGAGTTAAGTTGTCGCAGGTCTGGTTACTATGAAAGCTTTGATGATTGATAACTATCAAATCTGTGAGGCCCTTCTTGGAAGTTTACAACTGTAGTTATTAAAACTGCCTTACAAATAATATTTTGTATCAGTATAATTAAATATTTATAATTAAAATACATAAATACAGGAAGTTTTGTATTGAAATTAAACTTTACTAGACCCCATATAAATGAATGATATGAATTATACGACAGTATTTAGGTCAAACAAAATTTATACGCATTTTGTAGCAAAAAAATAATTATGTATTCTAAATATTACTACTAATACATAGAATATTTATATTTATTGAAGTAAAACCATAAAATAAGAATTTCTAACTATTTGATACTATATTTTTTCTATTTACAAGTAAAATTTGTATTGAACGCAATGTCATACGTAATTCTCACTTAATACTCATACAGTTAATTTGTAAACGGCCAACTTAACGTGAGCACTCTCCATAATATCTATTACCCTTACTACGTGTTCGGTCGTATTGTCAAAGTGAACGTGAGCTCGTACTTAGGGTATCGTAACATGTTGTAAGATTGTTAATGTCATTATAATAACACGTCAATGACAATAGTGAGAATACTCAATACACGCATAGTAACGTATTGGAGTTGGTTCACCATTTGAAAGGCGTTTTCATGTCAGGGCCCCTAAATTGGAGGAGATATAATATGACGTCACATCCGGTCAATTGACTGTGACTTTTTTAGATCACGTATTGGATTTAATATACTTTGTGGATATGATTTAATAGATAATGAGTATTTTTTGGATTTTAATAACTGCTTTATATTGTATTTATGTGGATGTTTACTTAGTACGTTTAAGTCAGTGGTGGTCTAGTGGTTAAAAGGCCCGCCTCTCATGCACGAGTGCGTGTGTTCGATCCTGGCCCGGGCAAGTATCAATGTGATTTTTCCGAGTCATATGTACTTTCTGAGAGTATATAGACATCACTGATTAATGAATTCCAAAAGAGGGTTGATATCAGGTAGGCGGCCAGTCATAAAAACAATTTGCTAAAACTATTCACAACGTGTAAGGCAGACCCAGGCTAAAGCTGGGAAATTGCCAAAAAGAAGAAGAAGACAAGTTTACTTAGTACGTACATTATTGTCAGTCTGTTTGTACCGGATACTATCTGAAAAGGCTTGACCGATTTTGTTGGAACTTTGACTATCATATAGATGATGTATTGAGAAGCAACTTACTCCATTCATTTATATAATATACAATTTTTTACCAATTTGTGTGCCAGAGCTGGTATGAATCTCCTACATCTGAGGAATCGCAGGAGGTACGCGTCGTCTAGTCTTCTTGGGTTACATTCACCACGCTCTGAAATGAATACCTATTGATTAAGAGTTGATTTAAATAAAACTCATAATTGTATAGGAAACTTTAATAAATTTATGTTCAGTTTTACTACGTAATTTGTTCGTTTCAAATTGTTTAGGTAGAGAGAGGAGCTTGGACGGTGGAGGTGAGCGTTTAACGCGTTAGATAGGGGTTTCTTAAACCTACACCTGGGTCGCAAGTCCCAGACACTGTTGAAGCTCCTCTCACTACAACGATGGACCCGACACTCGCACGGTGAATACATGGAATGATGAGAGGTTTCGTCTCTCTTGTTGAGTTTACGTTTTTTCATTCATAAAGCGAGTTTAATACTACCATATAAAACTTGTAACCTACGGTATATAAGGTTCCGTAGATTGTGTATGGCTGTTTGTCTTGTCTCCGGGTCTTCGGAGCAGTTCCTCCAGGCGTACTCCTCAAACTCCTGGTCCTCAAACCTACTCACTTCGGCCTGAAAGGCTATGTCTATGAACGGCATCGCTGGCAGTTAGCTAACTATAGAAAAAAATCGAAATATAGGCATATTACAGAAAGTCTGTTTATAAAGAAACTATTATAATATTGATATGAAACAATATTTTGCACTAATGTGATTCAAATCTCGTCTGTCCGTGATCACGGTTGCTGCAAAATAACCGAAACGTCGGGAGTATGTAGTTTTGAAAATAATAAAAAACGCGTTATGTACGCGTTTTTTATATATCCGAAAAATATTAGTTTCATTTAAATGAATACTCACGAAAGTCTTTGATGACATTATATTATAACATTGTCTTGTATACATTTTTGAGTACGATTTTAATTTGCAAAAATATGACCAAAATAACGAACGAATAAAATGAGTTAAGCGATTATTACTGACTATTTGTTCGTAAAATTGTATACATTTCTGTTGAAGATTCCCAAAATTAATGTAATTATAAATTATAAAAGAAAATTTAATTGGTTAATACATAGTAAATGTTCTAATAGGGCCATAACACAGAATACAGTTAGGTAATAAGCTTTTATTATTACAATAATTGAAATCTGTTGCCTTTAACTAGTATTATTTCTTTATTATTTTTGGCCATATTCACTTTTGCTACCACATTAACAAACACAATAATGAATTGTGCACTATGATTGCGAAACGTAATCAAATGTACATTAAGAAATGAAACATTTCGTAGCTATGTGTTAAAATTATTTTATTCAATACGTACGATGTATATTGGAATTATTAAATTAGAAAAGTAAGTAATGAAGAATTTATTTATAGTATTTATTATATGGTAGTTTGAAATTTTGATGTTATTATAATTTATAATACAATTACTATGCGAGTTAAATCCATGGTCCATGGACTACAGATGACGAAGATGTCATCCATCTTGTGCGTTATATGTGTGTGTGTGTGTGTGTATGGGAATGTAAAATATTATGGTGTTTTTTTCTATGAATTCCTATAAGATTATGTTAAATTATTTCAAATTTACATCAAAATAAAACACCCTGTACATAATGAACTTAAAGTGAAACTCGTCCATCAATCGACCTTTTTTATAAAATTATCCGAGTGAAAGTCAAATTACTTGGACTGGACACACGAAAATACATTGGATCATTCATTAAAAAATCTTTTATATATATTTGTTGTGTATTTTACTACGTAATTTTAATTATATAGAATAATGAGATAAACGTGAATGTATAAAGCTAGTAGTTTTATTTAAGAAGACTAAGAAAAATTTTGTTCAAATAAAACATGTACTTTCGATATATAAATATTAGTATATATATATTAATAAAGATCAACAAATAAAATGACTAGACGTGATATTTTTTATAAAACAAATCGTCATGTTTGGGGTCACTGCGCTTCTTCGAGTTCTTATCTTGCGTCGTTTCGTCATTTCCGTCAAGTATTAAATATATTTAAAATTTTGTTATAACAATAAAAACATTAAATACTAGAGATTTAATATAAGTTGTCATTCGTAAGATTTCATTGAATCTTTACACACGACTTGGTATTCTAAATTACAGTCAAAATTTCCTTAATTGAGAGTTTATCTATAGATAAGCCTTAACTTAAAAAAACTAATTACATCTAGATAACATAAAATATTTCTTGCAAACAATCCGATTAATATATCTTTAAAACACGTAAAAGTAAAACAATATTGTTCTTTCAAGTCCATAAACCATAAATAAGAAATACTTTTATATAAAAACTTTTTTTTCAATTAGTCTAAACGTAAAGCTTGCCTTACCCTTAGTACTAAACTATAACACACAAACCTACAGTTTAGTTGTATCGTAAAACCTCCTTACCACGTGTAGTTACATATCGTAATGATATCTTAATAGCATTCGCGCAACGAGTAGGAAGCAATTACGAGTATGTCGCAACAGATGTCATTAGTTTGACGTGACAGATATTAAACAATGGTTGTATACTTAAAAAAAGATTTTTATTTTGTGTTCCATTTTCAAATATGAAATAACGCAATTGTTTGACATTATTCGTCCAAAACAAAATTGTCTTTTTTTGTTCCAATATATCGCAATTCCGTAATTTAGTTAAGTGACCTTCCAAATACTGTAAGTAGAACTCGAATAGAGCGGTACTTTCTATATTTGTGGGATTGTTTATTTTTAGTATACACTAGAAGTTTCCATAGTGACAGCAATCGAAGAATATGTAACCTTAAAAAAGTAATGAACGCATTATGTTATTATAAAAGAAATAAGCTATGAAAAAAATGTGATTAGTGATTACATTATTGTCTATTGTTGAGATTTAACGCGAAATACTTCTTAATATCATCGTTTATAGTACGTTTACATTCAATTTAAATATACTTAATAAAAAATAAAGTTATAAGTACGTAATACAAAAAACCAATTACCAAATGTCATTTACATTGAGAAAAAAAATATACAAAATAAAAGTCAACTGTTTATTTTTTATTTACATAGAAATTAAGTAACATTTTATAATTATTTTCTTTTAAGAAACTTATATTTTCATTGTTTTAATTTGACTATTAATAGTTTAAATAGATAATGGAACAATATATTTGACTATTTAATACGTTACCTTTTAAGTTGTATCCACTGTATTTGTCCTAATTATATAAATTCTATATAAACGTGTACATTTATAAATTACACCATCTATTAACACTCGTTATCTTTGGAATTAATACTTTCAATTATCGCGTCCGATAAATGCGCGCGAGTTTAACCCGAACAGTCAATGTCAGAATGACATACGCAATAATAATATTATTTAATCTATATTAAATAATGCACTGCTTTAATAAAATTAAAATAATTATTATTTTTAATATAAAAAGCACTCAAGAAATTTTCGTAATATAAAACTTTTGCAACATTTATTATCGAAGTTCTTAAAGAAACGCGAGCGCGTCAGTGAGAGGTTTGTAAGCATTTAAACTAAATGTCCGTAGCTTGTATACGCGCCACTGACCGACAACAGAGTGAAAATGAACAGAGGCATAGTTATAAAATGGTAATTTTATATAGAATATTTCGTAACACATACCTTCCTTTACATTTACTTTGATTTTTTGTGTAAAAAGAACATAAACAGCTAATAAACTTTGCTAGAAAATGAAAATAAATATTTCTGAACAAAATTGTTATATTATAGAATGTTTAAAAGTAAAATATTTAAGTTACCCTAATCTGTAATTCGAAAAACGAGTTTAGGACGCTCCGTCAACTAAAATGCAAGTGTGATATTTATTATAAAGGTGATAATTTAAAAAATAATATAAGTATGACGCGCATTTAACTGCAGATATATTTTTACATGTTAAATATAAATTGAAACTGGTTATATGTTTGTTTTTGTTTTATTCATTACAATACTATGGGAAAGTAATATTATAAATAAGTCTGTTTCTTATTAGTTATTACGTGGTTTAAGCTATTATAGTCAGATTACGTGGACATTATGTAACTAAAACTCAATTCCACCTTTTGATCGTTTGTTTTGATTCAGTTTAACAAAAAATGGAACGAGAAAATAAAGAAAATTCACAATAATCTTATATTCTCCAACACAGATATAATAATTAAATTGAACACAAATATTTTATAAATAATATATTTTTTAACACACAAAAGAATAAAACATTGTGTTTATGTAACTAGGTTATTAACCTGTAAACAAAATGTAAATAAACATGAATCGCCTTGACTTGGGAACTTCAACCTGAGAGCTTTGCCGAATCCATATGAACATAATAAAAACTAATTTGCTTTCTAACATCATTTATTATGATGTCATTCACATTTATGCAACGGATTGATTTCTAGTGTTGTTTTTTTGTATTTAAATTAAAATTATGTAAACCGTCTTACTTACTAACTTACATAATTATGTAAATTTAATATTTAATTCATAAATTTTATATAAAATAAAATGACAGCTATTAAATGTCATTTTTTAGCTATGCAATTTATGTCATTTTTTTAGTCTATGTAATGTATGTATTTTTTTAGTCTATGGCGTATCCCAAACAGCTGATGTCGTCGTCGAATTGTTTGTTCTTGTACTGTTTTATTTTTGTGAGCCAATCTCTAACGGAGACTGACTCTCGGTGGCCGCCGTATCTCTTTGGGAGGCACTCGGGGTCGATGTACCTGAAGGCATTGTTGGGTTTAGCGAGGTCTTGGTGTGGCAAGTTTCGTTTATTGAATCTTAAGTTGCACAAACATGGAAAAAGTGAAATTCTGTTGTAATAAAGCGTTGTCTAATTCATGAAGTACTTATGGTTGAATATTATTATTCTCTCTGCCTTTTCTCGGACAAACTATTGGAGCGAATTTATATAAAAATCGGCAAATCGTAAATTCTAGCCGAAAAAAGAAAACCATCGTGGGATAGTTGGTAATATATTCGTATGTGTGAGTAAATATGTTACCTATGTAAAGATGTATACTCGTATCCATGGAAGTAGACCTTCCTCCACAACTCGTCAGCAGGAGCAAAACGTTTCAACAAATGGAACAGTCTCTCGAACCATCGCGAGCAGTTCACGATGTGAACACCGCGTTGGTGGAGAGGAAACGAGAACTGGGGAACAGGATCATTATAAATACCTTCAATATATTAAGGTTTTAGCTTCTAAAAGTGAACAACTAAATATAAGTTATATTTTAGGATGTATTTTATTATAACAAAAACTACATATTCCTGTTACGGTTACTTTGCAGCGAAATTAAATAACGTGTAGTAAAATATTAGTTTTATTTAAATTAATAGTCGCGAAAGTCTTAGATCTCATTTAAATTTACTAAGTTATACTAGTTAAATTAAAAATTTACGTATCTATGATTTATATACGCTAAATATGAAAAAGCCGATTAGCTCTATTCTTAAATAAACAGTAGGTATAACAATAAATTTCTCATCTCAGAAAATATGAAAATATGAACCATTACCTAGAATAAAATTAATAT